CTTTTGTTTACTCCAAAATATCTATCAGTTACGCAATATAATACTGTCTTCAATGTTTCCGATATGACCCTTAAATAACATGAACAAGCTTTAACATGGGGTTGTTCTTTATTCGATGAGCTAGGACCAACTAAAGAAAAATTACGTTTTCAGATATTTGTAGTTTTATAATGCCAATTCATGTCATGATTGATATTATCACATCTTTAAAATCTAAAATAAGGACCGTTCACATATGGCTAGTTCTCAAAAACTAAAGGAATATTTGGTTGATGACATTATGAAACAAATGAATATCTGATAATTTCAACGCTTACTTACGAAATTCTGTTTTTTATATCACTAAAATGAATCATATTGGACACTCTAATTATACCACCTTGTAGAAGAGTAAAAGTGGCAACGAATAAAGTCAGGAAAAATATAAACGACATTGAAGAATATCGGTTTCTTTCGTCTATCTCCGGAAAAACTTTCAGAGTGAAAATTTAACCGGCTTAGTATCTCTTACCGTTTCTGAGATCCCAATTATGAGAGTCGAATTTGAAACACCCTGTATAGTATATGATAAGATATAGACATGATCTTATATTCTGGACCCTATCTATCTGTCCACATAAATAAAATGGATTTGTTTCTTATTGTTCCCAATGTCGCCATAGCTAACATTATGTTTGACAAGATAACGAAGACTTACAATTTATTTATTCCAATGAGTTGTACCATGAGTACTTAGGAAAAAATGATTCGACGGAAACGCACACTGCTATAAGATATCTTCTTATCCTGACAAGCATTGCTGGCAATGCTCCACCGCGCTGCAGGTACAATATTTTCTTTAAATATTTTATCACGATAATTCTTCAAAATCCTAGGAAATGTTGGAAAAATGTAAATATGTGACATATAAAATGCAACACCTAGAATTGTTTACTGAATTTTGATAAATACTTATTTGCTAACATGGAATTTGCTAATAAAATGTATTTCCGAGCCGTTCTTATTTTTAAAGGCTTTTTTGTCATATCAGGATCGGAACAATATGAACATGTTTACTAAATATTCAGTGATTTTGCTGTGTTGGTGCCATTTGTTTCATTGCATTATCATGCTAGAGTTCGCAGTCGCGCTAATTTCACTCAACTTTCCGAATTTGAGAGGGGCGGTAGAGGAGTTAGAGATACTGGAGGTCAAAGACAGACTACAAAGCCACAGGATCATTATTTACCGCAACGTGCACTTAAAGATCGATTTTCCACAACAAGGGCAATTGCGGACCAGTGGTTTGATGCTGTCGGATGTGCAATAACAATGAGGGCAGTTTATCGCCGAATAAGGTCTTTTGGACTGTTTTCTTACCGCCCCCATCCTGTACTACCTTTGACCCCATAGCATCGTTGGCAACGATTGGTATGGAGTAGGGACGGGCTTGAATGGAATATGGAATGGAACTCGTGTTCAGAGATGAGTCCAGATTCTGTTTGGGCACACATTATGGCCATGCAAGAGTAAGGAGAACAGGTGATGAAAGGCGGAACGTCCAATAATCCATCGCACGGCATATTCATCGCACCGTGGGTGTTATGTATTGGGTGCCATTGCTTACAGCACCAGATCACGTTTAGTGTTCATTCGAGGAGCATGACGGGCCAGCGCTATATCTATGAAGTTTTACAACAACATCTGCATCACTTTTTGGAAGCAGGAAATGCACGACCTTATCTTAGACTTTTTAGAAGAAACTGCTTCAATGGCCTCCTCGATCTCCAGACCTTTTCCCCATCGAACATGTATGGGAATATCAATCACCTAATCCAATCAATGTCGCGACGATTTAACGAATGTTTAGCGAACAGAGGAGATACAATTTTAATCACTTTCTATTTATCGGTAGACCTAAAACTTGTAAAAGTATGCGCAAAATTACAGCACTCCTAGTCGGTGTTGCGTTTTCTATGCTATTGAGTATAATACATATATGTTACTACATATAACTAAGTTGTAAGGGAACAAAAAAGAAAAAGGTTCTTCATAGACGCCAATCGCAAATAATCGATTTAAAAACCACTTTAAATTGCTTAATATTATTAAAAAGGCATTTACTTGGTAATGTATGCAGTTCTAAGCCATCTGCCAACGTTAATGATAAACAAAATGTAGAAGGTGTAAAATGTTACATTCAGTCGGCAAGAATCACAATAAATATTTGCCCGTCAGATTACTGTCGTCTTGCCAGCATTACATGTTTTTATAAATCACATTTCTGTAGATTCATTGCTACTAATAATGGCTTTAAATAACAACGTATTGCAAATGTTTGTACATTCAGACAAATATTATGTTTACACCTGTACATATAATGTTACGCAAAAAATAAACGTGCGTGTACAGATTGACATGTAAGGCTAACAGATAAAGCAGTTCATCAAGTTGAAACTGCGTTAAGCGGTTGAATTGTTCAAATAAACATAAAAATATTCCTTGTTATACGGAAAAGTTTCATCCATAAAACAATTGTTTTATTATGCTTATGTTACAAAAGTTTCCATAATAACAATGGTACCACATTTAAACCAAAAGTTATACTGGTAAATCAAATCTCAACGTCAGTTTAATTTAAAGACTTGTTCCCAAAATAATCATGTGGATCTGACATGCATGTGATGGAAGCTAACAAACCATTTTCTGTTCTTAACACTTAGCTATATTGATGTGTTAGGTATTTTAGGAATATTCGAGGCATGACATCCAACCATTTAAAAAGTCTTTATTTTGGATCATACTTCGCGTGACCAAACGCCCCTTTGAACGAGACCGTCTGTTTCTTAGAGTAACTGTGTCTCCAACAAAATGTTGAGAGGCGGGACGCAAAATTGTCCCACTTTCCCTTTCACAAACTTAAACTGAGCCTACTAATTGGAATACGAGGTCTGTAAATTGAATGATAAGACTGGAAACGTAGTTCTCGATATGGCAACACCGGAGGCGCCGGGCTTGGAGGGGAGTCATGGGAACATGCCATCCGCCTTCAGTATAAGTTTGAACCCCTTCGAGTCATTTGTTTGTTTGTAGCGATTTTTTTGTGAAACAATTTTTCCTCTTGTGTTCTAAAAATGAAACACGTCAATTTAGAGCAAAGGTGTGCAGACAGGTTTTTCGGTGGTTTGAGGCGTTTCCAGAACGGAATCTGGTACGTTTAGATCATTGACTGACAGTTAGAATGACTGAGGAAGAACTAAATTTAACTCACCGTTCATCAGATTAAGAACAACTGGGTGTTGCATCGCGATAATGCTCCTCGTCACACTGGAATGTCAATAGACAAGCTTTTGTCCAGTAAAAACATTCAAATGGTTCCTCAGCGTCCTTATTCGCCTGATTTGAGACCTTGTGACTTTTTTTTCTCCCCGAAGTTGGAAAATTACCTCAAGGGAACTCATTTTGGGACAGTCAAAAACATTCAAATGGCCGTAACCGACCAGCTGAAGGCTATTCCAGTATCGGGGTTCCAGCACTGCTATGAGGAGTGAAAGAACCGTCTCCAGCGTTGTGTCGCTTCAGAAGGAAGTTATTTTGAGGGTGACAATATAAATATGTAATTATATGTGAATAAAAAAATAAAAAAAAATTTACAGGCCTCGTATACAATGGCGAATAAGAATTCAGTCGCTTGCATATTGCAGCGCCTGTAAAAGTGTTTTTGTATAATTAGAAAAGGTAAAAAGATATTTATTGTGTATGCCAGGTATACAAGTATGAAATGCGGATTTTGTCTGAGAAAACACACGTTAAATTTATAAGAATTATAGAAAGTGCTTTATTCAAAGTACGCGTCATCGGGCAATTTGTGAATACCACGCCAGTAAAAATCTTCCTCTTTTGCTGCGAACCAGTGATCAAGCCATTTTTTCACATCTTCGTACGAATCAAGGTGCTGTTCAGCAAGTGTGTGACCCATCGATGCAAACAAGTGGTCAACGCTAGGAGCCAGGTCTGGTAAGCCGCTTGGGGTAAAACTTCCTAGCTGAGTCGCAAATCGGTTTTACCGTATGTGATGGAACATTGTCATGAAGAAAAATGACCTTGTGTTGCCTCTTTCGGTATTCTGGCCTTTTTGCAAACAGCGCACGGTTCAAATGGGTCAATTGTTGTTGATAACGGTTGGTACTAACTGTTTATCCAGGTTTCAGCAGCTCATAATACAGAGTTATGACAAAAGAATCATCGGGTTTTAAAAATATATATTTCTTAAGGTATTACAGATATAACAGTAAGTGACATGTCAATGGAAAGGTAAAATATTCAAGATTTTAAGCATGTTATTACAAATGTTCGATGTGGGCTCTTTGCGTCACACGACATATGTCTAAACGATAGTCCAGTTCGGCCCATTCACGCTGCAATGTGTCTCGATCGATATTGTTAATAACAGTAGTAATGCATTCCCGGAGTTGACCCAATGTTGCTGGCAGAGGTGGTATGTAAGCCATATCTTTAACGTAACCCCAAAGGTAAAAATCGCATGGTGTAAGGTCGGGAGACCTGGGAGGCCACGCGAACAATACCAAATCTTGTGCAGTACCTCGGCCAATCCAACGGTGAGGCAGTGCCTCGTTTAAATACCGACGCACCTCATGATGCCAGTGAGGCGTAGCTCCATCTTGTTGGAATATGAAGTTGTTAGAATCTTCTGTTAGTTGCGGAAATAACCACAAATGCAACATATCTAGGTAGGATGAACCGTTCACAGTGTTTTCATGAAAGAAAAAAGGCCCGAACACTTTATTTTTGGATATTGCACAGAAGACATTCAATTTTGGAGAATCCCTTTCATGTTGCACAGTCATATGAGGATTTTCCGTGCCCCATATCCGAATGTTATGACGGTTCACCCTTCCACTTAAATGAAATGTCGCTTTGTCGCTGAATACCAGACGCTTAGCAAATTCGTCGTCTTCCATTGCCTCCTGCATGTTAGAAGAAAAATCAAGTCGCTTTACGTGGTCGTCAGGTCGTAAGCTTTGTAGCATCTGTAGACGGTACGGTTTGCATCGCAATCGTTTCCGCAAAATTTTCCATACGGTTGGCTGTTCACTTCCTGCTCTGCTAGTGGACTGTCTCGGAGAACGGGTGAAACTGTGTCTAACTGCGTCCACCATTTCGTCAGGAACTCGTGGTCTTCCGGTACTTTTACGTTTAGTAATGGAACCTGTCTTCTTGAATTGTCGATACCATCGTAGAATGCTCTGATAACCTGGAGAATCGTTGGAATGCACGTTGCACTGTAACAACCGATAAACATCGCGCGTACTCTAACACACAAAACGCTTTCTGCTGCATAATCGCCATTTTGTATACTGAGCTCGTGGCGCTACCTAGGGAGGTAAAAGCGGCGTTCGCAAGCACGTGCTTTAAACTCGAACATTTTCCTTTTCTAGTGATATGTCATTTGATATTATATTTGCAATACTCTCTGAAATATAAATTTCTAAAACCCGATGATTCTTTTGTAATAACCCTGTAGATCACGCCCCTCTGGTCCCACAGAACACAGAGGTCTTTTTTCCGAAGCGATTTGGTCTTACGGTAGATGTGGATAGTGCGCCTGGGTCTACCCATGATTTTTTGCGCTTGGGATTCTTAAAATAAATCCATTTTTCATCCTCTGTAACTATGCGATGCAAAAACGACTTCCTTTTATACCGGGCGAGCAAAATTTCACATGTGATTTTGCGCTTTTCCAACAAAAGTTGCAATTCCCGATCTTCATACTTATTTCTTTGGAGGCTTTCGATGTTCTTTGTCTGCGACATCAAAGTTACCGCTTTTGAAACGTCGAAAGGATCGTTCACACGTATCTTGCGATGGAGCATGTTCACCATAAGCTTGTTGAAGTAATCGGTATGATTCAGCAGCAGTTTTCTTCAAATGGAAACAAAAAATTAATGCCATCCGCAAGTGCTCTTTGTTCGGTATAAATTTTGACATTTCGAACAAAACAAAACACCACTATGTACACACTTTTTCAATTTCTGACTCGTGTGCCTCTGACGCTTAGTGATGGCGCAACAAAATGGCGTATTATCGGAACTTTATAGTACAAACCGCATTGGTGCGCCATCTGTTGTCTGGAATCAGCATTTCATACTTGTACACCTGGTATAATATATAATAATAATAATAATAATAATAATAATATTTATTTACTCTAAAATACAGGGAACATGAAACGAGTAAATAAATATAATATATCCATAGGAGGACAATGCCTGTGCATGGATCATATGTATGTTGAATTGCAAAATATAATAAAATAGAGAGAACAAAGAAATTATTGGTAAGAATGGTAGAGCATTTATTGTGTAATACTTGAGATTATTTTATTAATTTGATTTCTCCCAATCGTGTTAATAAATTTTTTTAATTTTTTTTTGAAGCCTAATGTATTGCGTAATTGTTTTAAATTATTTGGTAAATGTTCGTACAATTTTGGAGCTATATACAGGTGACATCGTTTCATTAGGGATTTGTTTGGTTTAGGAACATTTTTTGCGCGTAATTTATATCTGGTTTTATGATTATGTTTAATTATGTCGTGTTCACTAATAGTTTTGTGATAATGAGTGATGGTATGTAAGAAGTAAAGTTGTTTAGTATCATATACTTGTGCATCATTATATAAGTCATTAGTTGGGTATAATTTTGATTTGCCTAACATTGATTTTAAAATTCTTCTTTGAAGTACATCTAAATCGTTAAAGTATGTCGTGCATGCAGCACCCCACACTACTATACCATATTTTATGTGTGGCTCGATTAAAGCTTGATATATTATTCGTAGATAATATTCAGTTAATATACCGGTTAGAAATTTTATTTTATATGCTATGAATCTAATTTTCTTTAGTATGTGAGAAATATGTACATCCCATCTCAAGTGGGGATCTAGATAAATTCCTAAATATTTTGTATCATTAACTCTATTGATTTTTATATTTTTATCATTTACCTTAAACCGAAGGTGGTTATATTTTGGTAGATGATTAGATAGTGATGAAAATGGTAAAAAATGAGTTTTAGTAAAGTTAATTGTTAATTTCCGGTTATTAAACCACTGAATAATTTTGCAAAAGTCATTTTGGATAATATCTTTTAAGTCGTTCCAATCCTTACCTTTATAGAGTATAGCAGTATCGTCTGCAAAACTGACTATTTTACCAGTACTGTTAATTTTGAATATATCGTTTAAATAAATATTGAATAACAGAGGACCCAAAATTGTACCTTGTGGAACACCACATTTAACAAACATTTCTTTACTATACGAGCTTAATAATTTTACTGATTGCGGTCTATTTGATAAATAATTTTCCATTAAAGTATACATCTTTCCACGAAAACCTATTCTTTCTAAGATTTTCAAAAGTATGTTGTGGTTAACTGTGTCAAACGCTTTTTGTAAGTCCACAAATACGCATATCGATGGTACTTTTCCATCTATATTTTGGGTTATTTCATCTACTATACTTAATACCCCATCTGTTGTAGATTTGCCCGCTATAAAACCATATTGATTTGAATTTAGAATTTTGAATTTATTAAGAAAATTAATCATTTTATTAAGGAGTAATTTCTCAAAAACTTTAGCTAAACTTGATATAAGTGAAATAGGTCGATAGTTAGTGACGTCCGTATTATCATTAGATTTATAGATAGGTATGATGATTGCTGTCTTGAAAGCTGATGGAAATACTCCAGATTGGAAGGATTTGTTAATGATATAAGCAAGTGGTTCTGTTATTTGTTTGGCCAGTATCTTTAGATGTTCAGCTCTAATTTCGTCAACTCCAGGGCTTTTTTTATTTTTTAGAGTCATAATGGCATTGAAAACATCCTGATAGTCTACTTCAGTTAATACAAATGAATTATTCAGTCTTGTTTCATGCAGATGAATATCAGCATTTTGTTTGATATTATTTGCTAAGTTTCCTCCTATATTCGTGAAAAATTCTATGAACTCATCACATATTTGGTGAATATTGTCTGTTTTCTGTCCTGTTTTTGTTTTTATTTCATTAATATTGTTTTTTGAATAGGATGACTTATTGAATATATCATTGACAGTGGACCATAGGTGTCTAGAGTCATGTGAATTATTATTCAATTGTTTTATATAGTAATTTTTTTTTGCTTTTCTCAAAAGTTCTATAAATTTGTTTTTATACTGATTATAATGATCTATATTTTCTTTCGTGGGTAAATATTTCATGATTTTATACAGTTTTTCTTTTTCGTTTGCAGATTTTATTAGTCCTTTGGTCATCCAATCATTTCTGCTTTTTTCCTTGTGACTTATTTTAACCTTATTAGTACTAACTGCAATTACTTTTTGAATTTTGTGTATTAATAAATTTGTAGCTTCGTCTAAAGAATTTGTTAAAAAAATTTCGTCCCACGATTCCGTTTGTGCGTTAAATATTAATTTTGAGTTGTCAGTGAAATATTTGTATTCAAGGTTCCTTTCATTTTTTGTCCTTGGGCAGTTCTGGTTTTTATTTTGTGAAGATATCAATAATACAGTGGAATAATGATCTGTAATATCGGTTTCATAGATAATAGGTATGTAAGAAAAAATATTGGAAATATCCTTTATAAAGCAGTGATCAATGCAGGTTTTACTGGTGGGTCGTGTTACTTTATTTATGTATGATAAAAAGCCATTACTTGATAAAATGTTTAAATATTCTTTCACCATAGAATTTTCCTCTAAAATGTTTATATTGATGTCGCCTATAAATATTTGATTATGAAGGTGATTGTTTTCATTGTTTTTTAATAGTTCATCTATGTCTCTTATAAATGTATGAGGATCTGAAGATGGTGGTCGGTAAACACAAGTAATTTTGACTCTACGATTTTCAATTTGCATTGTTAGATTGATACCTTTTAGTTCATTGTTGATTGTAAATATGGTATGTTTATAAGGCAGATTGTTTCGTACATACACCATCACTCCATCGTTTTGATTATGGTTACCAAAATTATACAATGTATCGTACCCTTCTAAATGAAACAGAGTCACATCGCCCACTTGCCATGTTTCGGATAGAATGATTATATCTATATCACTTTGTATTCTTTTCAAAATTAATTTAAAGTAGTCAAAGTTATGTTTTATACTTCTGATGTTCATATGATAAATTCTAACAGATATTTCAGGATTTTGTAAAAAAGAATCTAGCTCGCTAGTATCATGAGCAGTATTAGTACTAATACGTTGAATTTGGAAGTTATTTACATAGTCGTGTGTCATGAATGATGCAATATTCTAAAATGTTGGCTAAAGTTTCTTCTTTCTTAAAAAAGGATTTTCAAGTTGTACTGCTGTTGATAATATAGAAAAGTTGGACATTTTTTATCTAATGGTGAGTGGTTGGTACTATAATTTTTGTTATATCTATAGTTTGAAAATTTGCAATTACAACATACAACCGGTTCATGCTTACAACAGTCAGTATCGTGTACATCCTCTTTGCTGCAGTTGGTACAGGTCTTGTTATTGCGGCATTTTTTCTCGGTGTGATTGAAGCGAAGACACTTCTTGCATTGTGTTATTTCGTTATTATCATACACTGGTAAACATTGCCATCCAAGAAGAATTTTTCCATTGTTATCTTCAAATATTGTCCTGAATAATTTGCCAGAAATGTCTGCAAATAATGTGTAACATTTTTTCGATGGGAGATACTTTACATATTTGATTTTGATGTCATCTTTTTCAATAAAATGATTTTGTTGGATAAGATCTAATTCTATGTCTTCTTCATGTGGTTTCTCCGTGCATCTATAATTGACAATTTTGATCTTCGGTCTAAACATTGTAGGTTCTGTGATTTTGTATTCATCTCCTAATTTCTTTTCGAATTCAGTTTTGAGTGTGTTGTGGTGTTCCTCAGCCAGTTTAATTATAATTCCTCCATTTTTAGAATTTCGTATATTTTCTATTTGTATTTTCAAATCCGTAAGGCTAATTTTTTTGTTAAGGTCTTTTCTCGTTTGTTCAGATGTTTGGATACCATTTGGTGTGACAATTATGTTCTTCATTGGGTCTTTCTTGATTGTTGGAGTATCTCGCTTTAGTACTTGGGCATATGATTTCTCTTTAATTTTCTCAATTTCAGTCAATCTTTGATTTATTTTATTTATCATTGTTTCAACGGTACCTTTTTCGTGTATGGCTGATGTCGCTAAATTGTACTGTTCTTGTAGTCTTCCATTTTCATTGCTCAACTGTAGTATTAGTTTATCCTTTTCTTCTAATATCTGTTTTAAGTGTTTATTTTCTTCTAGAATCTTCTGAGTGTCCAAGTTTCCATCAATGTAAACTTCCATTGTATCTGATTTTTCCGTTGAGATCTGGTTTTTAACTTTTTTCTTCGGCATCATGCATATATATCAACTCAGCAGCAGCAACACTCAGTATAGCGTGAAGCCACAGTTGAAATATTACTTTTATTGGTCCTGAAGTTGACACAGCTTGACAGTTTCCTTTGGTAGTAAATTTAAAATGCTTGAAAATGGTGCAGATTGTGCTGTTCGTCTCACCAATATTTCCAGGGATGTGTCACTGTCTTATATACGTTTGCCGTCCAGCGATATTAATTAAAATGATCTAGTTTTTTGAAAATTCTCGTGATAAAGGTGAGTTCTTTAACTAGTATTTTTAGTAGACTCGGGATTGTTTTAGTTATATTATATATTATAAGTTATACTTTTAAATTAAGAAGGTAAACGTATTTTAATACAATCTGGAAACAAAATCCACTCATCTGACTGAATTTAATCAGCGTTGTAAGCATCGTAAAGTCAATATTTGGTTTGACAAGGCCGTTATCGGTCAATCATAAGGAATAACACATGCTTTCTCACTAGCTCTTACTATTTTATCTTCTGATTCGATTTGTGCTTATATATTTGTATTAGGCAAGTAAAATTTGACAAATTCGCGCATCGATAGCCGCATATTATATATTATATAAGAAAGTTAACATACCTGTGCGATTTTAAGCGACACGTAAATAAATGAATTTAACAACTTTCACAGATGCAACACTGGACGGGATATTTCCTTCCATCTCTGAACATCAATTTCTTTAATTTTAGGGAGTCCAACTAGGTATATTATTTTTTGCCGGTTTACCTATGTTTTGAGGTTTGCGAGTAAGCTTAACCTCACTTATTACTATGCAATACATTGCGTTCATCTTTTCACGTATTCTAGGTACTATAAAAGTTTTGCATTATGACTTAACACACGGACGCAGGAGGGTGCATGTTACTGAATGTTGAGACATGTCCATGATTGCCTAGCACGTCTGTTGATTTAGTTGTTCGTTCGTATTGGCAGTGTAAAGTGCGAACTATGGCATCGTGGTCACGTAGTGAGATAAGGGCAGTTTTACGGTATAACTTTTCCTCATCGTACGATTATATTCAGGTAGTACAGATAATTCCAAAGGGTCAATTTCACTCTGGAGCACCCTCAGCGGGAAGGAAGGCCGCAATCGTCAGTAACAGACAACATAAGTCATGTTAATTCGTTAAAATTGTTAATTTTAATAGGTCACGGAATAAATGCGATTTTGTTTCAGAACACTTCCTCGGAGTCAGACATGTGCAATACACGCTGCTGTTTAGCGTCACCATTTTAGCCTATGCATTAAGGAACGTTCTGAATGTGGCTGTCATTGCTATGGTAAAGGAAAACAACGAATTCGGTGTACCCGTAAGTATGATTTCAACCTTATCCTGGTAAATAACCCATACATATTCTAAATAAAGTACTTCAAAACATATACATATAGATGTAGGTTATTATGATAAAATAATAGGTACAGGGTGTCCGTCTGTAACCCCTCCTACTTTTTTATATGACCTTTCAGAGAAAAGTCATAGGGAATAGTATAAAGTTTTACATGTAATATTTGTTTTTGTAAGGGTTATCAAATATAGTTGTATTTTTTAAATGGAACACCCTGTACATTTTTTTCTGATTAAAAAAAATATAGATATATATATAGTTTATCATAAATATTTTCATTAGTTTGGCCAAATACTTAGAGTGTGCGTGTTATTTATCCATGTGTATCCAAAATATACAGGATGTTCCATTTTAAAAAAATAAAAAAACTTTATTCTGAGATACCCGGTGTACAAAAAACATTTCATGGCCAAACTTCATATTAGACCCTATAACCTTTATATACAACTTTTTATTCTACAAGGTTACTTAAAAAGGTTAGATGGATGGTCCGTTTATAGCCGGTACATTCAGAAATAGTGTCGGCTATTTTTGTTGCAAAATGCAAAATCTTTCCATCATTTTCTGATTTTTTAGATATTGGACAGTTAAGTAGAAGAATGATAGACTCGAAACTTTATAATAGTTTGATAGGTAATGGTTTTGATGAATGATTTGTAATACAATATGCAGACGTATCCAGAATGGGAGAGCGAGAAAAACGTGATGTTGTCATCGTTCTTTTGGGGCTACGTATTGACGCAGATCCCGGCTGGCCAACTGGCCGAGTATTTCGGCCCGAAGAGGTTCCTGTCCGCCGCCATATTGACTTGTTCGGTGTTTTCGGTGCTGATCCCCGTGCTGGGAGGAACTTTCGGCTACGGGGGAGTCATCGTGTGTCGTATCGTCCAGGGTCTCACGCAGGGATTCATTTATCCCTCCATACACCATCTGATCAGCGCATGGGTACCCTTGGCGAATAGGGCGAACATTGCCAGCTTCGTTTATGCAGGTATGTACGATAAGCCAGGAAATAGGTAAATTGGCGACAGTAATATTTTTTTGGCGATATCGTTTGACTGAAGATCTCGACAACCATCAGTCCTACGTAAAAATGTGAATGAAACAATTTTGAACGAAATTGAGCTCTTCATCATTTGCTTCTATGAACATTTGCCATATATTCAACAGGTTACGAGAAATTCAAGGGTAAAGGTACATTTAATGGTATTTGATCGTCGCTTACAATGGCTAAAGTAAGCTTGTACAGACTACTATACTTTTTTGTACAGAATCAAATTTGCTAGAAAAAAGGTAATTTATGTTTTTTGGGCACCATGATGATCCTTGAACTATAAGGAGGTAAAGTCAAAAATCCATGTAAAATAATGACGTATGCGAATTACGTGGATAACATACCTAGCGTGAGAAGGATGTCGCGCGACTGTTTTGATCCGAATTCTCAACTTTCCGTCCTTATACAGGGTGGTCGATATGTAGCTGACTGGTTTGTATCTTGAATATTTGTGAAATGAAATAAAATACGTACATTTTTTTTATCTTAATCTTTTATTCAAACTTCGAAATTATATATGGAAAATAATATCAGACAAATGTCCGCCTCTAGAAGCCGTGCAAACCTGAGCCCTCTTGATTATATTTTCGATCACTTTTTGGTAGGTTTTGGGAGGAATATTTTCAATCGCTTCCGTAATATTGTTCTACAATATTTGGTTTGTTGGCATAAGCCATATTTTTAAAAAATCCCCATAAAAAAGTCAGGAGCCGTTAAATCCGGTGACCGTGGTCGCCAGTTGACATCACCAAATCGATAAATTAAACGTCCCGGAAATATTGTTCGCAAATGATTCATTGTTTCCCCAGCTGGGTGATAAGTTGCTCCGTCCTGCTGGAACCACATGTTTTGCAGGTTAAATTCTTAAATTTGAGAAGCCAGAAAGTTTTGCACCATAATACGGTAGCGCTCGCCAGTGACAGTAAGAGAATTACCTGCAGCGTCTTCAAAGAAGTAAGGTCATATATGACACCTACATAAAAAACACCGCACCGTGCTTATTAACAAATCCGTTCATATCGAAGTGGGCTTCATCGCTCATTATCAGTTGTCGGTAAAAATCGTTATTTTGGGTATTAAGCTGCAATATTGCATGACTGTATTGTCGACGACTTTCATGATCACTAGGCTGTAGTCCTTGGGTTATCTAAATTCTGTATGGCCGCAAATGTAGGTCTTTTTTTTAAATAGTGCATAATGACGTGCGACGAATGCTCAGTTCTTGAGAACGATGTCGGGTAGACGTCTCAGGGTACTACAGTTTCACGAACTCTCTGCGATATTTTCCGGAGTACGAACAGTTCGAACACGGCCCGACCTTGGTAAGTCTGTAGCTTGACGTGGTGTTGACACTGGGCACATGATTTTGACCATCTTGTCGTAGGTTCCGAATTGTTGCAACAATCGACTCAGTTATCGGTTTTGCGGATGATACAGCTATTCTCTATGAAAGTAACCAGTGCCATACACTAGAAACCACAATCGAAAATGATTTCAAAACATTTATAAATTTCTTTTCAGAACGAACAATTACAACAAAACACACTATATAGCATTTTCTTGTAACGACAGGCTTTCACCACAATTTAAAAAACTTGAAGTTCATACAAGCAGTGGTCTCAAATAGATTCAGTCAGCCGATAAAATAAAATACTTAGGCGTGATTTTGTACAAACACTTAAAATGGAATACCCATTCAGAGTACCTTGAAGAAACTGAGATGTATTATTCCAAAACTCAGGTACTTCAGAGATATTCTGGATAAGAAATATCTATATAATCTTTATCCTCTATTAATTTACGGAATTTTTGCTTGGGGGGGGGGGTTATGAATAATAATTACAGAAAGGTTGATGTAATCCAAAAATTAGTTCTAAAATTGATCCTCCATAGGGAGATTACTTATTCAAGTGATTCTCTATATGTGGAGGCTTACTATTAGATTGCAGACAAATTAATTTTTATTGTGGTCTAATACATTATATTAAATATTCGAAATACGTACCATTCATAACTACCGAACAAGATTCAGTCAAAATTCAATGTATATTCCGCAAACATCAAACACACACACAACGATCTCTGTTTTTCTTGGGACCAAAATTCTATAACTTTATACCAGAGTCATTAAAAGTATTTAAATCAAATAAGTTATTTAAAAAAGAATAAAAAAATGGATTTTACAACAACCAAGGTGCTCCATCCACGAAATTGTAGATATGAAAAATCATTATCAAAATCAATAATATTTTACTTACACTAACATCCATACTTTTACTTTAGTTAAAATTGTGGATATTTTTCCTGACATCACCATAATAATTCAATTCACCAAATTATACAGTATTTACGTTTTGTTTAGTTTTTATTTTTAGCAAACCCAAACAGAAGTGCAAACTTTTTTGGGTGTTTTATGTTTATTGTGCTCAATATTTACCTGTATTTTATGACAATAAACATTATTATTATTATTTAAGTGAAACGTTTTAACAATACAAACGAGTTGTGCGATCGTGTAGCGCTCCATGATGAATTGGACACATGTGCTTTAAACAACTACTACGGCGCCACCTACTGAAATGCGTGTATCAAAAATGCCGCGAAATTTAAATCAGTCAGTTATATATTGGCCACCCTGTACTTCAAGAACCACCAAGGTGTCGAAAAAACGTAAATGACCTTTTTGCCATTCTTTTCAACTCCGCAATTTTGTGTGTTGAAATTCTCAAGCTGTACTACTTTTCGTACGTCCATTCGGCCCTTAGCTACTGCATAGTTTGCTGTGGAACTGCTCTTGCATTGACACTATCCGTGTAACGAGCTCTTCAAACAGTTGAATACAATGCCAGTTCACTCTCTTCATATCTCCAGATGAGATGTCTTGTTTATGTTAAAGAAAAATTTAGTTCTTTCTATATAAATAGGAGATCAATTAAATGTAATGAATTTCGCCAAACGGAAGATATACTTATATTTCACAAAGACTGTCTCTAATTTCAATAGGGCCCAATGTAATGGTTTTAAGTTTTTTAAGTTACCAAATTGTATAAAAGCCATACCAAATGTTTCCCTTTGTAAGACAAAGATAAAGACTATTGTGTTGAATAATATTTGAATGATGTTCTCTTTTGTATTCATCCAAGTTTGTCTCATATTGTGATGTAACTTTAGTCATTATACAGGGTGCGGCAGAGAGGATGGACGGTTTTAAAAAAATCATAAAATAGTTCATTTTTACTCGAAAACAAATTTATTGATGAAATCAGGTTCACAAAGAAATAGCATTTGAGACAGTCAAGTGTGGAAAATCACATCAGGCATGTGGTGGCCGAAATCGTTGATGCAGTGCTGGAGACGATCTTGGAAGTTCGCGTAGACTCTCTCCAACATCGCTCTCTCAACTTGGGCGACTTCCACGCGAATTTCGCCCTTCAATTCGTCCAGAGTTCGGGGCTTGTTCGCGTATACTCTAGCCTCGAGGTGTCCCCATAAAAAAAAATCGCATATGGATAAATCTGGGGACCGAGGAGGCCATTGAACATCGCCAAACCTGGAAATAAGGCGACCAGGGAAGAGAGGGCCAATAACGTCCATGGATGCTCGGGCTGTGTGGGCGGTCGCCCCATCCTGCTGGAACCACACACGTCGGATTGGAACACGTCGCCGTCGTAATTCAGGAAGAAAGAAGTTGGTTGTCATGTCGACGTAGCGCTCTGAGTTCACGGTAACATCACGACCAATACCGTCTTCGAAGAAGTAAGGGCCAATGATGCAAGTTTGCGATACAGCACACCAAACCGTTACTTTTGGGCTGTGCAGCGGTCTTTCGTGTAACTATTGCGGATTTTCATTAGCCCAATAACGACAATTCTGCTGGTTAACCACGCTGTTTAGGTGAAACTGGGCTTCGCCACTCATAGGCGAAAACGCGGTGCTCCACCGTCCAAGGTTCCACAACGACAACTGGTAAAATAATGCTAGGATCTCACTTGCCACTTCTCTCGTAGACGGAGGCGGAGAGTACTACCCATCCCAAAAACGTTCGTCATCTCTGCCGCACCCTGTACTTGTTATTTGTTTTTATAGGTTGGGAACATAACATAAATATACTAACATAAAAAAATTAAATATATACTCTCCCCCACCCTCTACAACCCAACATCCCGTAATTTTTTCTCCGTCGCCATTGCACGCTTTTCAAAAACTACTGTAGCGTTTGTCTGGGTTCTTTTGGGTGTGGATTAAAACACTGGATTTCACAAAAAGAAATGTACTAATTAATTTATTTACGAATTATTATGTCGCGCCAATCGCTGAACTATACTCTACTCTGCTTCCCTCTCCCGGCTGTCGACCTATATAGTCCGTATCACAGGTACTCGTTGATTCGAGAAAGTTCCGGTGAGCCACACAGCGGCAGTCTAGAATCTTCGAGGTCACTCGCTTTTAGTTTTATTTAAGATCTGGCATTGTAAAATTTCTTTATAGTCAAGTTAGTATCTAAAGGGCCTTATGGAACTATTCCAGAACCCTTCTAACTCCGAGCCGTTTGTTCTGGGGATATTAAACTGCATTCCGATTGACCACTATTAGTTCATAACGGCTCTAGGATCGTTCCCTTCAAAAACTCGAGGCTAATTGCTTCATTGCGACTAAAAAGGCTTTCAAATTGATTATATGTAAAAGATCAGTCAAACTAACATTTTTCACCGCATTTGGTAGGAAAATTTTATACATATTAAAGTTACTTATTCTGAATTTCCAAGAAAGGATATTTCCATTTTTATCAGTGGGTTTACCGTAAAATACCATTAAAAACGGCTCAAGTGTCAAGACAAGTACTCTTGCATTGATACGTGTGTCATTCCACACACACATACATGAGTTATAATTTTTTTCTGATGCAAAGATTCAAGTAGTTACCATTGTGTTCAAGTATGAAGGTTATTTTATTGAAGGCTACTGTTTAGCCGAAAACACTCCCCGCTTCAGTACATATCTATAGATACATATCACGTACATACAAAGTTTTTAGAATGGCCAAAAGCTGTCTTCAAACAATGCAAACGATATATCAAGTAGGTTGAGTGCACTTCTCACGCAACCAGAAGGATTGTGCTCTGCACTAGTTAGCCTCTCTGAGAAATAAGTTAGCTATGAACATGTATAAAGAGAAGTTAAATAGATCAAGTCAGTCAATCAGGTTCGTATCATTTTTGTGTACAATTTTGGAGTTTAGCACTTCACTACTCCTGAGAAAATTTGCTACACCCTATTCGGGTACACTTTTACAAAACGTTATTTCATGTCGATGAATGCCCATTCCCGCCTCTATCCAGAGAAGTAGTACCGACTACCACCCATCGGCCGTATCGCGGCACACATATTGTATCTCCACACGCATCTGCTGAAAATATTCCTCTATTATTATTAGTTTCAACACCAAACGTGCGGGTTAATCCATCATATGTGAAATGTCTAATACGTGCGTAAAATTACTGATTAACCTCAAAAGATTATATATACCCTCACCATGTTCTTTTTCGAAGATCATGAAGAATAATTATTCAAGATTTTTATTTTTTGTTTTCGTCTTCTGCTTCTCGCTTCGACGTCACTGAACCGATTCTCAAAAATTATAAAATGTTTATTGACATAGTATTAACATTGTGTGGAAATTCCATCCAAATCTGGGAGGTACTTTCCAAGTTATAGACAGGCCAAATATTAGCAGACAGACAGACAACTGAAAATAAAGAGACATGAGTTAGATTGATTATGAATGTGTGACCAGGAACATTAGGTCGCATTAAAAAAACGCTTACACCTTCTAATGAGTGAACTCTTCGTTTGTTACTGATTCAATAACAACTTCAGAATTGCTTTGTTTTGATTTGGTGTAGTTAACATATCAAGTGCAATTTCACTCCAAGCTGATATAAATTAGGACGAAGTTGACGACACACGGTCGTCCGCATCAGACATATAAAACGTAAAACTGATGATTACTTCAATCGGGTCATTTTATCAATGCACTTTACGTAAACGATTGCAAGGCTATCCACGATTAACAACTAGCAATTATTCCATGCAAGTATTGTAAACACGTGCCTCTTATCGTTTATTTACCGAGCCAAATCAAATACCAGGGATTCTATTACTGAGAAGTCAAAAGATGCTGGAAAATTTTTATTGGAGTTCAAACATATTGACTGTTTTTATAAATATGTGTCTGGATATTGAATTGTTCTAATATAATAAAAATTGTAAAATCTTTAAAGGTTCAAAAGTCTCTTGTAATTATTAAATTGAAAAAACTAACGCTCTTATTCATTCAGAAACAGGTAGTCCTACAGCATTGTAACGAAAACACCGTTTTTACTATATAAAGTCTAGTCTCACACTAACTTATTACAAGACTCGCAACTAATTTATTACAAATCATCATTCGCTGTCGGTCTACGACAGGCTTCTCTGCCATCTCTGCGTATATTTATTTTTCATCGATGGATTCCAGAAACGCACTCTTCCGTCTTTTTGATCGAAATCGAGCCTCTGTGGACATCATCTAGATGGCGGTAGATACTTTTCGATGTGACCGGAACCTTCATTATAGAGCTGCTAACGCTCCCAATATTCTGATTGCATAATTCGGTACCTGAGCGTCGATTTCACGCTGTTCATCATTACCTGCAATCTTATAGTCCCGCCATGCTTTTCTAGGCGGAGACAAAAATTTCAAATTCTGCACCGATTAATCATATTAGCTTCTCAAATTACGACGTGCACTACAATCTGAGAAAAAACGGCGGAGTTGTGGCTTTTGTCCGCAGCAGTCTTTCCTGCTCCGAAGACGGTTCTTTGGAATCAGACCAGAAGGACATTCTGTGGCTTCGCCTAAATACCAAAACATCGCTCAAATGTGTTTGCTGCCTTTATCGCTCTCCCCAGGACTATGATGATGACCTACTTGAAGACCATGCTGTCAAGATCGACTTCCTGAACATCAGTCACCCCGCGTCAGGGGTAGTTCTGCTCGCTGATTTCAATGCCCATAATGACCTTTTGTCGGTCTCAAACAAGACCGATGTAGTTGAAGCGTTCGCAATAACCCAAGGACTGGCCCACCTGGTCACGAGCCCTACTTTTTCCCCCACATTTCGCCACACGCGGGTAGTCTGCTGGATCCCTTTCTGGCCACGCATCCTGTCCCTTACAGCACTGCTGTCCTTTCTCAACAAATTTGGCATTAGGGACATGACGGCTGGGAGGGGCTGAGAGACTTCTTTTCCACCTCTCCTTCGAGAGTGTTTGTTTCGCCGACACGGATGCGTCGGTTGTCTGTTCTTCGATAACTAAAATTATCCTCGTTGTGATGGAGGAATACTTCCCTCATACAGTGAAAGTGCCTTCTCAAGGGTCCAACGGCTGGTCCAACAAATACTCCTCAGCATAACCTTCTTACAAAACCCACTGTAATAGATAAGCCGACGTCGAGTCCAGAAACAAATATAACGAAGCGGTCCGCAATGCCAGAGACCATCATGATATAAAAGTTAGGCACAGAGTAATGTCGCAGCGCAATGGCAGTTAGGCATAGGACCGTAAGATAGGTGCTTTTGTCTCTCGACATCAACAAAGCCTGCTTGCTCCAGTTCATTCACCGACCGCCACAACTACAGGCTCTACTTCCTGTTATAAGTAAGGTGATAAAGAGGTACAGAGAGGAAGTATCATTTCTGGCACCAGCGATCCACAGGGGACCTCCTAGCTTACGTCAGATAATTGTGGAGTAAATTCATCCAGTCTTACGGTGAAGCTAATGTCGTTGCTCTCATTACCACAAAAGCGTTTGATCGGCTGTAGCATGCTCTTATCCAAAATTCCATCTTATGACGTTCCAGAGAAGCTTTGCAGATGGCCGTAAGATATCCGTCGTCATTGACGGGTTCTCCCTATCCAACGTCAAAGAGGGAGTACCCCAGGGATCGGTCTTGGCTCCGACACTGTTTTTCCTTCATATTAACGATCTCCTTCCCTGTACGCTCATAATGATTTTACAGCACTCTACATGCAGGAATTCAGAGCGACAAGCCGATCTCTACCGGTGAGCTGGAAAAGAGAAGACTAGCAGCTAGCAGTGACTTCCTCTCTGACCAGACACCTGGAGGTTATCACCGCTTGGGGACGCAACAGTCTAGTACGTCCTCTCTTTTGTCCCGTGTAGAGATTGTGGAACAACATACAATAGGAGGCTTTTTCCAAGTTCTACTAACCCTAGGCAGTTAAGAAATCGGATTAACAAAATTTCTTTGGGATCCTCAGCAGCATTTAGGCTTCTGCCTGCGCGGCTGCTTCGGTGTGGAAAGAAGGTGCCACATTTTTCCAGTTACGAGGGCGTTACAGTAGTATTCACACATAGGAGACACGTATCCCATATCAATTAACATATAATTATCGTATATTTTTTCAGTAGATTAGTTACGAAGTATGAGTTAATATGGACGGCGACGTTGCACATAAGCGATGATATTACCTTAAACTAATTTGGGTTGAAACTGAATGTTCATCATATAATGTTGATAGGGCGACGTCGTTGTTTTTGCAGGTGGTCCATTGGGTACCGTGATGGTGATGCCCGTTGCTGGTTATTTCTGTGGCTCGCAATTTGGTTGGCCAATGGCCTTCTACACATTGGGAGCTGTCGGATTGGTCTGGACCGTCATTTGGCTGATATTCGGCATTGACAGTCCGCATCATCACAAGACCATAACCAAAGAAGAACTTATGTATATTCAAGACGGCGCTGTTAACGATAAAAAACCAGAGGTAAAGCAAATCAACAGTAAATATTTTACTTTGTATTTTGTAAGCAATAAAAATATATTCTCTCGTGATAATTCTATATAATTCTTTCGAAGTCATAAAATCTTAGTTTCGGGAGTCCTATAATCCCAAAAAAATTTGCAAATGTTGCCGAAGTTTAGCAAACAAGCTATTCTTATACTTGTCCACCCATGCAAAAAAAACAAAAGTAGAGAGATCTTAAACAACAGAAATTATGTTCGACAAAAGTTTACTATGTGTATGACTTGTAATGTCACGTATTCCTGTTAAGGGGTAATAGACTAGGTCAAAAGCAACCGATTTTGTCCTATCATGTCTTATCCAAAAGTTAACCATTTTTGAGTTGTTTGAATTTCAAGTTTTTTATTTTTTATTCCGATTTCAGACGGTTAAAACTGAAATACAAAAAAACTGCATGCTTGATTTTGAGTTTTTTGTTATCTTCGCATAGCAGATACTCCAATAGTTCATAATAAGTAATAAAACGTTGAAAAGCTACAAACGTTTTAAAATTACGCTTTTTAAATGTATCATTTTCTTTTTTTTACTAACTTATTCGATAAAAAATGTAATTTTCTGTAAAAAATCTCCTAGTAATGAAATGTGCAAATTATGTAAATAATATCTCTATCTAACAAGCTTTCATTTGAGGTATTAAGCGTTCAATTATCTGAAGTACATGCAGAGAAACAACAATGACACCCACAGAGGCTGGATTTTTAAGGAAATTGAATTACCTGTTTGAACAAGTCGTTACTGTCCTCAAAGGACTCGCATGCCATGATTGTTTTATGGCATCGGCTCGACGAGGAAGCGAGCGAGAAGAGCTGACTTGAGGAGTGAGAGAGAGAGAGAGAGAGCTGTTATTATTCATCATTGTAGTTACGTCATTGCCGCACGCCCAGTGAGAATTAGCTTTAGTAGGTATCAACTACTGCGTACGCGCACACGTTTTACTCACGATTATTATTTTCGAGTTTCCCAGTTCATTTCGAGTGGTTTCTTTATCATCATGGTAGATGCAGAAGATCCGCCAGGACCTCGCCATAGCGAGCACGGGCAAACTTTTACAAATGAAGAATACGCAGACATAATGTTCTGTTAAGGACTTTGTAACGGCGATTCTGCAGCTGCCCACCGTGAATATCGGCAACGTTTCCCGAATCGCCGAACACCTCATGTTACTGTGTTTGACTCTGTGTATCAGCGCATCCGCCAAACCGGACGTGTTGAAAGGCAACATAGTGATGCTGGTCGACCCCGGGTATATCCTCCTGAAGATGAAGAGGATATCCTTCGTGTGTTTTAGGAGACCCTAGTACGTCTACGCGCATTGTGGCTGCTCAGTTGGGTATATCACAATACAAAGTATGGTTTACTGTGCATGTGATTGAAGAGGGCGATCCTGCAAGACGATTAGATTTCTGCAGGTACATGTTACATGCAGATACAGAAGATCCAGACTGTTTTAAGAAAATTCTGTGGACCGATGAATCGAAGTTTGATAAGGACGGGATCACTAACTACCATAATGCTCATTACTGGGCTAATAAAGAAGCTTTAAACACCCGAAAAATAAGACCGACGGGGTCTCAGAGCCGGTTTTCAGTCAATGTGTGGATGGGAATCATTGATGGATAATTAATTGGACCTCATTTTCTGCCCGCCAATTTAAATAGAGAAGTGTATGAAGAGTTCTTGAAAAATCACTTGTTTCCATTAGTGGAAGACGTCCCATTGGCGACGAGACAAAATATGCGGTTCCAGCACGACGGCTGTCCCGTACACTACAGAGGATTAGTACGGGCGTATTTAGACTCTAAATTTCCAAATCAATGGATTGGCAGAGGCGGGCCCATTGCCTGGCCAGCAAGAAGCCCAGATCTCACACCGATGGATTACAATGTGTGGGGACATATGAAAAGCCTGGTGTACGATGTTTCGCCCGTACCAACGCGCGATGAATTAATTACAAGGATAATCAGTGCAGCTGACCAAATAAAAAGCCGCTTAACAACTAGAGTTACCAAAAGTGAATTACGTAAGAGAATGAGGGCGTGTATTCGTAACAGGGGATTACAATTTGAGCAGAATCTGTAAAATACTGAAGGAAATGTAATTAAATAAAACTGTAATTAAAATGCAAGCCTTTTATTTATCCTACGTAATTATCGTTCGTACAACTTTACTCATCTTTTTTTAATTTTATGTCTTTGTACTTGAGTTAGTTGTAACTTTTATACCTCAAATGAAAGCTTGTTAGAGAGAGATATTATCTACATAATTTGCACATTTCATTACTAGGAGTTATTTTTACAGAAAATTGCATTTTTTATCGAATAAGTTAGTAAGAAATAAGAAAATCATACATGTCAAAAGCGTAATTTTAAGACTTCTGTAAGTTTTCAACATTTTATTACTTATTATGAACTATTGGAATGTCCGCTATGCGACGATAACAAAAAACTCAAAATCAAACATGTAGATTTTTGTATTTCAAATTTAACCGTCTGAAATCGGAATAAAAAATATAAAAAATAAAATTCAAATAACTCAAAAACAACTTCAGGATAGGATATTATAGGACAAAATCGGTTGCTTTTGTCCTAATCTATCACCCCTTAACAGGAATACGTGACATTACAAGTCACCCTGTATATACACAGAGAAGAAGAAATCCAACAATAAAGACAAGAGCCTTTAGTGCAACAAAAATTACTAATCATTAAGAGTTCTGTTACTTGATTTTTGACAGCAACAGCAAATACAGAATGTTGCCGAAAAAAGAATTTCATGACAACTGAAATGAACGGTGGTGATTGGACAGTATTGACTACTGATAGCCATGACAAGTTGCTTATTTTTTCTATTATAACGTGAAGCTATAGTCAACGCCAAACAAAGTGGCGTGCACGTCATCACGATAAAAATTCCCCGACCTAATGCCTAGGTTTCTATCACAAACAATTGCTCTATTGCAGTTTCATATTAATGTGATATATAAATTGTAAAATGGTCATTACTCTCTTATTATGGTTAATAGTCATATAAACATTGTTATTAAAATATCACATAAGTTGCTTTCTGATAAATTTAGACACATTATGCGAAATAAAATGTTTTGCAAACGCTCCAATCACTTATCGACATGTAAACGCACTAAACCGATTTCGCAGCGTTGACACATTGTCACCTTGAAACTTATTTAAACTGGGAACTGACATTTGTATTAATTTTGACACTGAATCAATTTGTGGCATTTCAAATCTTTATAAATCCTTTGGCCCCGCATACTGTAAATCAACAACTGTTTGTTTCAAAACAAAATTATTCATTTTACGAGTAGATAAAGGCAATTTTGGTATATAAAGATGCCCAAACAGTTAAATAGTCGGTGTAAGGAACTCGTGGCCTCGTTAATGCACTACTTTGAGCAAGAAAGGGACAACAACGGGCCTTTGTTGCCTTCAAATGCTGTTCAAGAGGTAGGTTACTAATAATTATATGTAATGTATATTAATAATAGTGAAATTTTATTTCATTTTTTGTAGCGTGTTGCTGCTGCTTTAAAAATTAGTTTAAGGACAGTTAGTCGTATTTCCGAGGGTGTGAAAAGTGATGCAAATTTAGAATCGCCCAAGAAAAAGCGGATTTATATTAAACGTGTAACCAACACAGCGACATTGAATACAAGTGCCATTCGAGAAGTGATCTATAATATGTATCACAAAAGTAAGATCTTATTATAATAACTTATCAGAAATTTGCATTAATTTGTTAACTAAATTATAATGTCATATTACACATGGTTTCAGAAGAACAACTTACGATACAAACTTTATGGTCTCGATTAAGAGATAGGGCATTATTTGATGGTAGTGCCACGTCTTTAAGGCGGTTGCTTAGAGATCTTGGATTTAAGTGGCTTAAGGACAATCCGCGACGAGGGCTCATGGAACTACCAAGTATAGCTTTGAAAAGGGTGGAATTTCTAAGGCAATACAATCAAGCCAAGGTTGAGGCCTTATACCAGTTTGTCTTCCTCGATGAAACTTGGATATTTCAAAATGGGACCATAGGTCGCTCTTGGCAAAATGGAAACCAAAAAAGCGTGAAAGCTATTAAAACAGATGGTAAAAGGTATGTACTTTTACACAATTTGCACTATAAAATTTAAAACTAATATATTTTAGATACATTATATTACATGCTGGGAATGAAAATGGGTTTATTGAGGGTAGTGAAGCGATATTTTCTTCGAAAACAAAATTGAGCGATTACCATGGAGAGATGAACCAGGACAATTTTTTGAAATGGTTTCAACATCAGTTATTAGAAAAATTGGAGAGTCCATCTATGATTATACTGGATAACGCCCCTTATCACAGCATGATATTGAACAAAGTGCCCAACAATGCATGGACAAAAAAAAATATCCAAGACTGGTTGACAAATCAAAACATACCATTTTTAAACACAATGTTTAAAACAGAGCTATTGAGTATTGTTGCTCGGTACATAATGCTCCTTAATTATATATATTTTGGTCGACAGTTTATATTTCTTTTGTTTATTCCTATTCTTAAAATAACTGCTTTTTTAGAAACAAACCACCTAAAATATACGTGATTGATGAATTGGCGGAACAACATGGGCACAAAGTTCTTCGTCTGCCTCCTTACCATTGTATATTTAACCCTATTGAGTTAATTTGGGGCATAGCAAAAGGTTACTATAATAGACATATTGGTAGAGATGGTAACAGTGAAAAAGACTGTTTGGATATGTGGAACGAGGCTCTACAAACGGTTACCCCAGACATGTGGAAAAATAGTGTTCGACATACTGAGCAAGAAATTTTTAAATGGTATGAAAGAGAACGAATTTTTGATCGACCAGACATCGAACCTTTAATAATCAACTTTGAGAGTGATGAAGATTCAGATTCAGACAGCGCTGAAGAAAGAAACTCCGACTAACTTTATTGTACAGAAAAAGCTTACACCAGTAGCTTACCTAATTTTAGAATGCATTTTTATGTATGAATTCTGTAAAATAAATACCATGCATAAAATTTGGAGGACCCCATTTGGATTTTTATTCAGTACCTTTAAGCTAACAATTAAATATGGTAGTTTCATAGTGTCATCTGATCAATAATTGTCATACTTAATGATTATGCAAGTACAGATCTATAATTTTATTATACTATTATTTTTGTTCTCATTTGAGGTTAATATTGCTTATAAACCTAGATATGTAAATAATAAATTTTATTATTTTACAAAAAGTTTGGCAACCATGTAAATTTTTCAACACACCCACCTTGATGACGTGCACGCCACTTTGTTTGGCGTTGACTATAAATAAGAACTGAATAGAATCATAGAATCACAGATTGTCAAGTGACATACCTGCATTAGTACAATAAAATGCTACCTTGCCACTAAAACTCATTTTATTGTATTTCAACCATCATCAAGTTGAAATTATTTCAATAAAATAAATATAATCTTACGAAATAAACACTCCCCTATTCTTAGTAACTAACGGTGCTTCCTTATATCGATAACGGAGGATTGCCTCGTTTCTGCACAAAATCGAAATAAGGAAGATCATAACAAAGCAGCAAAACTCTCTATTTATCTAACATGCATGTAACGTATGCAACACCGAAACGCTGTATTTCCACTAACTGTTTTTTGTTTTTTTAGAAATTGCCCACGCCTTGGAAAGAAATAGCAACGTCGCTACCATGTTGGGCAATACTGGTTTGTCATTTCGGCAGCCTGTGGGGCTTCTGGACTATGCTCACCGAAATACCAACGTATATGGATAAAATATTACATTTTGACATAAAATCGGTAAGCGGATCTACCTCAATTGTCTAAAAATGATCCACGAAGCTGCTACAAACTAATAAACAATTGAAACAAATTAAATAACACAACTTAATTGTAATGAATATACTCATCCGCGTTAAAAATAGCAGAATTGGTGATTATTGGTTTGTTATAATAGCTGTCTGTCGGTGGCCGTACCCGAGGTCCGGGTATACAAATTCTGCTTATTCTGCTACGCTATGTAAACGGAATTCACACGGCCAGCACGGGTATTACGCATCTTGAAAAGTGACGTTATATCGATTTTCTTGTTTTTGTTTGACATTATGTAGGTTTTTCGACAAGATGTTACCTTAGCACTAGCTGATGGACACTTTTGTAATGTCGTTTTGTAGTTGTACGTGTTGCCCAAACGTCATGAGGTTTCAGTTATCAATATTTGGCTATGATGTAATGTAAAATCTCCTTCAGAGATGGCATTACTGGAGGTAACGGCCTAGTGAAGATTTGTGTGCTAATAGTATGTGTTGATGATAATTCCATTGGATTCTTGTCTCAAATACACTTACTTGAGATTCAAAGTACCCTACTGAGCGAGGGCTGTGGTAAATGCTTGTTCCGGAAGTTGTTGTATCCAGTATACAACTTCTTCCCGTCCAAGTGATTGTACACGCGTTAAGGAATACCCCAGTACCGATTGCCGGGTGGCGGTACAAGTCCGCCAACGGGCCACTTTAGGTCTATTTAATATCACTAACACGTAAAAAGAAGGTGGTAGACAAGGACCACCCGCTAGCTTTTCCCAGGGTGTCTTATAAATGTCCGCATGTTTCCACACCTAAGCTATGCTGTCGGTTATCTTCCAAAACAAAGAAATTAATGATGATGGATCCCTCGAGCACTAAGAACTCCGGACGTAAACTCACTCCACTCTCGGAATGTCCGGGTGGAGGGTGGGCTCGAGGGAACAACATCGAAGATAAAATTTGTTTTTCGAACATCTGCGGGATTAACAGCAACATTGATGCTGTTCATCACTACCTGCAATCCAATCGTCCCGCCGTGCTTTTCTTGGCGGAGACAAAAATCTCAGACTGCACCGATTAACCATCTCAACTTCCCAAACTACGATGTGCACTCCAATCTGAGAAAGAACGGGGGAGTTGTGGCTTTTGTCCGCAGCAGTCTTTCCTGCTCCAGGGATCTTTCTTTGGAATCAGACCGGAAGGACATTCTGTGGCTTCGCCTCAACTCCAAAACATCATCCAAATTTATTTGCTGCCTTTATCGCTCTCCCTCGAACCATAACTGGGATGACCTTCAGAGATAGTTCTTCTCGGTGATTTCAATGCCCATAATGAGCTTTGGTTGGGCTCAAATAAGACCGATGCAGCAGATCGTGCAGTCGAAGCGTTCGCTCTTACTCAAGGGCTGACCCAGCTGGTGACGAGCCCTACTTTTTTCCTCCGCGTCTCGTCACACTCCAGTAACCTGCTGGATCCCTTTCTGACCACGCATCCTGTCCCTTACAGCACTACTGTCCTGTCCCCCCTGGGTAACTCAGACCACGGTGTTGTGGAGGTTAGGTTTCGGTCAGAACCCGCTGTGGCAGCAGAAACTCGTTCAGGCCGCAAAACTTGGCATTACGGACATGCCGACTGGGAGGGGCTCAGAGACTTCTTCTCTAGCTTTCCTTGGAGATATGTCTGTTTCACTGACGCGGATGCGTCGACTGTCTGTTCTTCGATAACCGAAATTATCCACGTCGGAATGGAGGAATACATCCCTCTCACAGTGAAAACTCCTAAACCAGTGTCCAACGGCTAGTTTAATAAATCGTGTGACACTGCTCGCCAGCAGAAGATCAAGGCACACAGAACCTACTTACAAAACCCCACTGTAGAGAACAGACAAGCCGACGTCGAGTACAGAAACAAATATAACGAAACGGTTCGCAATGCCAAAAACCAGCACGATATAAAAGTTAGGCACAGGGTAATGTCGCAGCGGAATGGCAGTCGGTTTTTCTGAACGCTGGCCAAGCAGATTGAAAAGAACTTCTCACACAGTAGCCTTCCACCGCTTACGTGTCAGGATGGAACTATTGTAATTCGACTCAAAGGCCAAGGCGGAAGTGCTAGCCAAGATCTTTGCTGCCAACTCCACCATGGACGTCCCCACCAACGCCCAAGTGCCGTCAATTCAAAGGGTACCCCACACTATGCATGAGGTAACATTCAGGCATAAGACCGTAAGACGAGTGCTCTTGTCGCTCGACATCAACAAAGCTTCTGGTCCGGACTTGATTCCTGCCATCGTACTGAAGAGATGTGCAGCGGAGCTTGCTCCAGTTCTTTCGCGTCTCTTCCAGATATCTTATGAATCCGGCACCTTCCCAGAAAACTGGAAATTTGCTCATGTCCAGCCCATCCCCAAAAAAAGGGTCTAAGACCGACCCTTACAACTACAGGCCTATAGCTCTGTTTTCTGTTACTCGTATAAGTAAAGTAATGGAGAGGTGCATAAATCGCGAGCTTCTGGACTACCTCGAACGTCACAGCTTGATTAGCGATAGGCAGTACGGTTTCCGGCACCAACGATCCACAGGGGACCTCCTAGCTTACGTCACGCAATTGTGGAGTAAACTCATCCAGTCTCACGGTGAGGCTCATGTCGTTGCTCTTGACATCACAAAAGCTGTGGCACGCTGCCCTCTTAAGCAAACCTCCATCCTATGGCCTCCCAGAAAAGCTTTGCAGATGGGTGGCTGACTTTATCTCTGGCCGCAAGATATCCGTCGTAATTGACGGATTCTCCTCTTCATCCCACAACGTCAACGCGGGTGTTCCCCAGGGATCGGTCTTGGCTCCAACACTGTTTCTCTTACATATCAACGACCTCCTTTCCTGTACGATCAACCCAATCCACAGCTTCGCTGATGACAGCACTCTACATGCAGGAATTCAGAGTGACAAGCCGATCTCTGCCGCTGAGCAGGAAAAAAGAAGACTAGCGACGACTTCTTCTCTGACAAGAGACCTGGAGGCTATCACTGCTTGGGGATGCAACAATCTTGTACAGTTCAATGCTTCCAAAACACAGTACTGTACTTTGACGAACAAAAGGCGTCCTAGCGCTCATACAGTTTCGATGGACGGCCAAGTTCTACCAAAGAGCTATTCATTTCGGATGGTCGGAGTCCAAATCACCGAGGACCTGATCTGGCACGAACACATCTCGTCAATAGCTGCAGCTACTGGAAAAAAGCTAGGCTATTTATTTAGGGCTAAGAAGTACTTTTCTCCGCATGACCTTCTCACTCTATACAAGGCCCAGATAAGGCCTAGCCTCGAGTATTGCTCACACATTTGGGGTGCTGCCGCCCCGACTACATTGTCCATGCTCGATGCTGTCCAGAGGAGGGCGGTCTGACTGATCGATGACTCTTCTCTAACAGATAGTCTCGGGACTCTTTCGCACCGGCGGGCCGTCGGCGATCTAGCTCTTTTCTATCGCTAAACCAACGGGCTTTGCTCCTCAGAGCTCTCTTCCATGATGCCGCCGCGCCATGTGCCTGCCAGACAGACCCGACTGACTTCGGCGTCCCATCCTAACCGTGTCAAACTTCGTACATCCAGAACTGGCCGATACGACCGCTCTTTTGTCATGAGGGTGTCTAGATTGTGGAACAATCTACAAGAGGAAGCTTTTCCCAGTTCTACTAACCTTAGGCAGTTCAAAAATCGTATTAACAAAATTTCTTTGGGATCATCATAGCAGCCGCGGTGTTCCGGCATTTAGGCGTCTGCCTGCGCGGCTGTTTCGATATATATATAAAAAAAAGATAGAAATTAGTTACGCATCCACTTTTTCTTATCCATTTTGGAAATTACATATGCAAATTATTATTATTTATTATTATGTTAAATAATTACACTGTACACTGTCCAATTACAAGTCATATGAGTTCCCGTAATTTTCCTCAAAAGTTTTTGAAAACGCAAAAAAACGTAAATTCGTAATTGATATCTTTGAACATAACCTGTCTTCCGAAAGGACAACATGTACGAGCCCCTTCCCGCTTCAGTTGGCCCACTTCAAGATTTGTACCAAAATATGCCTTTATAAACTAAACAGGACGAAACTATTTACTTGTAAAACAATTTATTTTCTCAAAAACATTTCAGATACACTCTAGTCGTAAAAAATACATATTTGAAATCACTTAGACCTATAACTAATAGAACATCTCAACAAATAAACAATGTGCGAATAAATGCGCGAAGTTAACAAGGCAACAATTGAAAGATTACCATTGGGTAACATCACCTTTATTTTTTAAACGGCTGAAATTCTTTGGGGCATAGTGTTAACCAAGTTTTGGCAAAAATTTGGTGCAAAACAATCCCACAATTTCTTGAAGCTTTTTTCTCAGTTCGGTGATTGTACGAGCAGGATGTTGTCGTAGAACCTTTTTCATCTCGTGCCACAAAGTTTCAATAGGTGACAGATCTGGACTGCTGGAAACCCATTTCAAAAGTGGTAAATTATTTTCTTCCATCCATTTTATAGCCTTTTTTGATGTATGGCACGCTGCACCATCTTGCTGAAACTCAAAATCTTGGCCTGATGTCAAACATTCTTCCATCACTGGTAAAAGCGATTCTTCTAAAATTGCCAAATATTTATTTTTATCCACATTTCCATCAATAAAATGAAGTTTTCCTACTCCTTTTGATGACACACTGCCCCAAACCACAATGGATGCTGGAAATTTCACTTTTCTCTTCAGACAGTCAACATGGAATGCTTCATTTTTTTTGCGAATAACTCTACTGCGACTGTCACCAACACAAACTTCGAATCGGGCCTCATCACTCCATTGTATTGCACACCATTGTTGAGGTGTCCATTGTCTATGTTCTTTAGCCCATCTAAGCCGATTTTTCTTTTGCAGTGGAGTTAATAGTGACTTTTCTTTGGCCTATAAACAAGTTGTGCAACTTTAAGGTTTTTACTTCACTTTTTTTATAAGAAAACTTACCTTGCAAGTGCTAAATCCCAGTTTGTGGGCCTCTATGAGTTGTGGACCTCAAAATTCTCCTTCCAACAGCGTCACTCCACAGAGCACTTAATTTTAAATAATTGGCACGCCTGTTTTTCACGATTATTCTTCTTAATGCTCTTCGGCCGGCATTTGTGATATTACTGTTTTTCACATATCGTGGCTTAATATTAACTGAATCTGTTAGGTTATATCTTCTAACAATATTTCTCACACTGTACCGCGATAAGTCCAACAAAGTTTCAATTTCTGAGTTTGATTTCCCAGAATGAAAAAATTTAATTATCAGTAACCGAATTTTCTCACTAATAACCTTTCCTCTACCCATTTTGAAAACCTTAACTACCCAAAACTATTTTAAACTTATTCTGACAGCTGTGATTAATAAAAAAAATTGTCATGGCTTTTATTTTTCACAGCCACCTATGCGTTCTAGACTTATTTTGCATTGAAATGAAAATAGATATTAACCTATTGTAATGTAATTGCAACATGTGTTACTTTTATGCTGCAAATTTGATTAGGGAGTGATAAAGTTGGTGTTTTCTACTATATATTATCAAAATATTCATTGTTAATATTTTAAACCCATAAGACCCTGCTACATTTTAGTTGGGCCAACTGAAGTGGGAAGGGGCTCGTAAATAACCCGCCGGGCAGCATATTCGTAAATACCCGACGCATTATATGCTTCATATATACCAGACGTATCGGACTCAGGTACCCGACACATTATCCACTCGAAGTAGATTCATTCATATTGGTGGTATTACACCTGACGTATCAGACTAATTCATCATTTATTTACTAGTATAACAACTCAACGAAACAAAACGGCTATTTATTTGTTCCATTACATTTTCTTTACCATCAACTTTACAATGGGAATGCCCTGTGGCGTCTTATTAGTAGATTTGCGGTAATAAAATAGAATAGAATATAAAAAAAAATTTGAACTATTTTTTATAGTACCTACTCATTTCATAAATTCTGGAAGTAAGTCGTTTACGTAGGTGAAATATGTAATGTATGCAAGTTCATGATTGATAGCAGATTGCAAGTTCTGCTTCATATACTTCAGAATCAGAGGAATAGGTGGAACTGCAGCTGAACAGCAAAATAAAAGAAAATAATCTTCCTTCGACTTAAATTTGGTCGAATATCAATGTCAATAATAATTATTGTTTTATATTGATAGTTTTCTGAATGGCACTTAAACCACACGTATTTTCTTCTATTTCCTATCTAGATTTCGAAAAGCAGTCCACATCCTTGAATTTCAGAATCAAATGATTGAGACAAGAGATAAATACCAGACGTATCATCACGATACGTCAGGTATTTACCGAACGCAATCCAATACACACAATCATCCAGATGCGATCTTGCTATTCATCCAAATAACCAACTTTCTTCTCAGAAACCCAGAGATAATGAAAATATTGACCTCTCGGCTTCACAAAACATATGGATCCGATAATGCGTGTACGTGTAGTTGAGCCATTCCTCCATAGATCCTAGTGAGCAAACGCGGAATGACTGTTTGCACCCTAAATACTACCTAGTCTGCAAGATGACGTCTTACAGGTTTTTTTTGACGTTTTATAGGTTTTTTACCTAATACCCGTGTGGATCCTAGACTCAGTCAACGACAAGCCACCGACCATTGTACGAACAAACCATAATGAGAGTACTAAAAATTCTTGTTTTGATTTCATTTAGATTAGGAAAGTATGCTCTACTATACACATGACACTATAGTAAACATATATGAATGTAAGTTTCTACAGTATATTGTGTATGAATGGACATGCGCTTATAGGGAAAGCGAAAATTAATCAGATGATAATTTAATTCTTTTTTTGCTGGTAACAATTCTTGCTTATTTTTTGCAGAACAGTACGTTGTCAGCTTTACCGTATTTAGTGTATTGGATACTAAATCTCATCATGAGTCCCATTGCAGACTATTTGATCGTTAACAAGATTACTTCAGTGGGAGTAAGCAGAAAAATTTTCAATTCCATAGGTAGGCATTCAGAAGAAATCTGAAAAGATTGATATAGAAAAAACACTCGTATTTAAAGCAGATCTTGTTTTTTTATTTTGATTGTTTTTATTTTTTTTGTACTACGAAAAATGATGATACGAGGGCCACTAGAAAATTAATCTACCTAGCTAGCTATGTAACAAAAGACGTACAAATCTTTTTTTTTTTGATAATTTTATGTTTCAATATAATCCTCCTACATCAATCCACTTGCGCCATTTCTCATCCAGTGAACTTATACCATTATAAAAAAATGTTTCCTCTTGATACTCAAAAAGTGATCGACGGCTGCTCGTAGCCCATCATCTGATTCAAACCGGCGTCGTCGAGAATTTTTCTTCGGCATCTCTCTCAACGAAGCTAAATTCTTACACAATTGGTCTAATTTTCACATTCTATTTAATGAGAACGATGCCTCTGATGTCCCCAAAAAACTGTTGCCATCAATTTTTCAGTAGAGGGTTGCGTCTGTTTCTTTTTGGGGGGTAGAGGCTCTTGAACCCACTGTTTGGATTCTGTTTTTGTCTCAGAATCCCAATGATGCACTCATGTCTCGTCACCCGTCACAATTTATGCCAAAAGGGCAAAATCGTTGGTCATAGTTTACAAATGAATTTCAGAAATGTCCAACCTGTACAAGTTTTGTTTATTAGTCAACAATCGTGAAACCCATCTGTATGACACCTTACTCATATTTAAATTGTCATGCAAGATGGTTATTACGCTGGGTTTCGATATATTCAAAACCATACTTGATGGAGACCATCACCTGACATCCATGGCTTCAACTTTTTAAGTCATTTCATTATTTGTTGCTGAGTTGAGTCTTCAATTTCTGGGATCGCCTTCTATGCATTCACACCCCGGTAGCCCTCTTTAGTCAGAAATGTCATTGCGATACTACAATTTTAAGTTAATTGATTCACTTTACAAACTGGAAACTGGTTATCAGAATTAACTCAAATTTTTCAAGTAAGGCTACAACGCAAGTCACTATTTTACACATTAAACCTGTGCGTTTCAATTGTATTTTTCATGGCTAGGTGGATTTCGTTTCTAGTACCCCTCATAATTTGATAGAAAGCATATTGAATTGGAATTTGAACGTTTTGTGTGTATTAAACAGGTGTGTTCATACCCGCTATAGCGTTGACCGCTTTGGTGTTCATCGGTCCGGACGAGAAAGTGCTTACTGTATTCATGCTTGTCGTTGCGGTGGGTTTCAACACGGCCATTTTGTGCGGCTTCCACGTGAACCACATCGATGTGGCTCCTAGACATGCTGGCACTTTGATGGGCATCACGAACGCGCTCGGCAACTGTGCCGCCATTTTGGCGCCGCTCGCAGTCGACGTTTTCAAATCAATCGGCAAATACCAGGAGGTACGATCATCTTCCGTTATCAGAGACTCTCCGTAACGTAAACGTTTTTGATATGTATATGTTACTTCAAATTGTATCACACTCAAAAAATGTAGGTAGCTATTTCAAAATTTTACTGTAAAACAAAATTTAAATTGCATCTTACAGAAAATTCACGAAACAGGGTCCATGTCCAACGCGCAGTGTTTCCCAAAGTGTGGATCGCGATCCCTTGGGTGCTAGAGAGGTCGCTGCTTTCAAAAATAAGCGAAAAACATCACTTGGTTAAAATATTTATTTTTATTCTAATAACGCCGTAAATAAAAACTAGCTACTAATAATAATCAAACGAAATATGAAACCAAGTTGACTACGTTAATCAATAGCTTTGTCCCAACCTTTAGTGCTAGTATCGTACCAGAACCGTTCGATTATCGTGAGGTACCCTGTTACACGCATGCATGGCCTGTCGTGGTTCTAGGATCATTTCTGGACTGTAAAAGGTGTTGGAACGGATTCGGAATCATTTTGTCAGGATAGCCAATATTGCCTGATCTACCAAATTTTCGGCATAGCTATGAAGAGAGAATAAACATGTACTAAGTGATAACGTTAAAAGAGCTTCATGTGAATTATGGGTTCTATATCTGTGGTACATTACTCTGATATCTTATATCACAGTTGCCTGGACTGTGATACAGATTCGTTTGCAATAAGTTCAAAATCCCTGATGTAGATTTGTTTATGGACAAAAAATATGATCATATATTAGCAAAGATTAAATAAAATTGGTTGGCTGACTGTGGAAAGAAAACTACTCTACTATGTCTGTCTTACATTTATAGATGAATTGGTAGCGACTTCCACCCTACCATATCCATTTGTAAAACTTACACTTTCTAAAGTTAAGTCAAAGAGATATAACTTGAGCATATCTTGTCACCATTCATCCATTCAACACTATTTCACAGAAGATATCTTTTTCTTGAGGATACTGATTTTAATTCTGTGTATTACCGACATTTTTCTGAATTCTTGTGTAATGTATGTACATTTTAAATATTCAAATAGCCTTTTGCTAAATTTCGCCCTTCATAAAGCCGGTATATTACTTGTATTATTGTATGAAGCCGCAAATACGTAGCTACATTCACTCCAACAAACCACGGAACTTTTATTTGTCGATCTGGCAACATTGCTGGTAGCTGTCAGAATCACCTAACCTAACAAATCGGTTCCAAAACGGGTTGGAACACAACGCAGAACCGTTCTGTTACTATGAAGGTTGGAACACTTTTTCCTAAATACGCAAGCGCGTCACCGTTCCAGCACGGTTCTAGGACGGGTTGGGACAAAGTTAATGATAAAACTAAATAACCAAGTGGGGCAGATCGCAATTGTTGAACAGGTTCTTGAACTTATTTAATGTATTTAGCTCAATCTTAAGCGGTAAAGTAAATAAAATTTGATAAACTATCAGTTACTTGTAAATTAGGCGAGCTATTTTTGTCCCTATTTTTGTTTGGGTGATGAGTAGGGAGAAATTGACTGTCATGGTCAATGTTTTTAACAAAAAATAGCGTCAAGTAATTTGACTCGGTACTTCCCAAGGCAACCCTGTTATCAGTCGGTAAAGGATTATGTTCGGCCCAAGTTAACCCGTCTGCGAAAACTGTTAGCTACGAAAATGTACAACATAGAATTAAGTAACCTCCCCCCCTGAGTGAAATTCCTGTAACCATATGTGAAAATTTCATCCAAATCTGAGCGGTACTTTTCAAGTTATAGACGGGCCAATGATTAGCGGACAGACAGACAGACCGACGGAAAAGAGTGACATAGTTTTTTATGATGCGCATGACATATAACATCCAAAAAATATAATATCCCTTTTTCGAAATTTTTCGCCAATACTAGTGGGAAGATATGTTTGGGAAACACTGTCCTATAGGAAACATACATATCGTCCATTTGATTCCTCTAAAAAAATTGATAGCAAATCATTAGAAACCTTGATGTGTATACTTCACAAACATTTTTTTTGCTCCTTTAAGGCGGTAACTCGATAAGTTTGTTCTGTTTCAGTCGGACAAGGCCCTTTGGGATATAGTATTCATAACAGCTGCAGTATTATTTGCTAGCACTGGTCTTTTCTACAACCTGTTCGCCTCAGGAAAAGTGCAACCTTGGAATGATCCCAAGAATAGTGAATCCGCTTCGCTCCAAGAAAAACAGCCCATCAATGAGAAAAAATAACACACCATGATGGGAGTGAAGGAAAACTATTTGATGATACAGAACTTTGAAACAAAGACTGTGCTTTTAGTTGTTAGTTTAGTACAACTCTGGAAAAACTAGGACGTTCGTGAATATGGACACAAATCAAATTATACTCATGAAGCTGTTTGTAGAAAGATTAGATTAAATCAAAACGTCACGATACTTGAAAACATTCTCTACTGGCTGTTAGGATAGTAAAATATGATTGGTATCCAGTCATCCGATATTTTTATGTTTCTTTAGAATAAATATAAATGCAAGTTCTATTACCGTATCCATTAAATAACAAATTACTGGTATCCGCCACGGATTAGGTAAAGTTCATTTATTGTATTTAACCTGCCAAAATGTACTTTTTTGAAAAACATGTCAGTCAATTCCAGGTAACTTTAAGTTACTAAGAATGCAGAAATAATAAATGAATAGTTTATTATACGAGTAATATGAAGCACTAACATATGATAATGATACGAAACTGGCTCAAGAAGTTTTAAGTTTTAATACTTCAAGAATGTATTACCTCCTATATTTAATAGAATTTGTTTTTTATGTGATATTGCCGAGACGTATGTAATGAGAATTATTGTAATTGTATCGGTTTTATATTATTTACATACTACTTCAAATGTCTAGAAGCAACTCACATCAAATTTTGGATGTATTTTATTGTAATAAACATATCAACTTTTTTCTGTGATTTTTAGTTTCTATATGTTCTTATTGACATTCTGTTATAAAGCTGACCCTTTGTTGATTAAAGAATGAAAAGGATATGATGCTTACCATATGGCAATATATTGTCAAAATGCACGAAAAATAAAACTGGTTTCTTGATTAAAAGTATGATAGTGAAAACCTTTTAGCTGAACACATGTTTTATATATTGATAATAAAGGAATTAGATTATATCCAAGATCCTATGTAAGGCTACGTTATGCTATCATGCTTCTTTATTTACAATGAAAAGTAAATCGATATCTAGATATGCTCACCATCCATTGTACTTTAAAAGATGGAGCAATCGCAGATATATCAATTCACTGAAGTATATAAGTAATCCTGAAAATATGACAGAGCAAGTATGATAAGATATAGTTGTAAATTGTTTCAAAGTGCTTCTAGATAATAGTTGTTAATGGAGTACTTCATCAAACAACGCTGGTGATGGTAAAATTCAATTAGAAATGGCGTTCAGTGGGATTCATTGAGGCTTTCCAAAAAACAAAAGATATTCTTAAGCCTTAATCATTTTTGTTAGATACAAAGAAACATGAGCGAGTGCGGTATAGGACTAGATATTCCACCCAAGAAACCAGGTAATTGTTACTGTATAATCCATCCATCCATCAGTTTTTTAATTTGAATCATCGGCAATAACATAACACTTTCTCAAGATGGACAAACCTTAAGAAAATGAAATACCATTTTACGTAGGCTAAATTTCGAACTGCTGAGAGTATCTATTTTATATATCAATATGAAGTACAGAAATTTATACAACATAATAATCTTAACACTTACCATAATTTGTTTCCAATGAAGTGCTCATCAAATAGAATTTGAGTATCAGTAAGTATTCGTAAATATTATAATCTTTATTTCACTAAGAGACCATGTGTGCATTCTGCTCATAAGAGTCCATCAAATGAATACTAATACCATTAATCATTCCATCGAGTGTTTATATAATATTATAACTATATAACTAAAGTTAAAATAACATGGTACACGCATATTCATACGTAGAACCTGAGGGAGGAGATAGCTAATATACAAAATAATTATTTTATTATTATGAAATACTGGAAAAAGTTGAAAGATTCACTGGGCGACGTCCTTCACACGCTGTGAGATAAATAATTTGAACCGCATACAAAAAAGAAAATCGATACTACTGGGCCGGGTTTCTTGGAATTGCCATTAATTAAAAAAAAAAACACCAACATGCGACAATGCTTTATTTCAGCTGGTTTATTTGGAGCCAGACATGTACAACTGATGCTCATGTTTGGAGCAACAATCTCGTCGTTCGGAATGAGAGCCGTACTAAATGTGGCTATCGTCGCGATTATAAGCCCACATACGAGAGAAGATGCAGAATTCGCTGTAAGTATTCCCAACTATAATTTTGTTAAAATGGAAAATCAAGGAAAAGTTATCTATATTTGTCAAAAGTTGAATTGTCTTGCGAGTTGAATCGTTTGTCAAAAATTGGTAACTACGTACCAAATTAGGATTCTAATAGACATTTGACCAAGAGGTTAAATTGGTTGATTCAAAAAAAAATATTCTTGACCTTGAAAGCAAATCCAGAGGTTATAGCTTAACCAATATTAACTTAAAATATGCCTTAATGCTAGGTAGTTTCCTGGGCATATTGGTAAGTAAAAATTATCTTATTAATGACCAATATAAATTTCTTGTAAGTTTGCAACATATATTGGTAAAAAAGAAGTCGATATGTCTACTTAATAACCCTATTGTACACCTTGATGTTGCAAGAATGCTTTTAGTAAACGTAGATTTCGACATTGACACTAATTTTGAAGGAAACATTTTCATTTTCACGAAAATTTAAACCTGAAGAGGCCTAAGACTTATAGGCATACCTCACGATACTGCTGGGTTCAATCCCGAAGTATTTTAGTCATGGTGCGTCATTTTTAACGTATTTTGTATCGAATTAATGTAACTATAACTCACCTCCATTTATAAAGAAATTCTATATAGCTTTCAAGACAACCTATCATATTTTTAATCATATACAATTATAGAAACTCCCCATACGCAAGTATTATCTCGATTCAGACTTGTCATTAATGTGCCTTTTCTTGTTTTTGTGATCAGCATATATAGTTTTTTGGTGAAATTAAGTATGTAGATTTTTCTACAAGATGTACTAGCTGTTGAACATTCGCTGTGTACTCGTTCCGTAGCAGTACATGTTTCCTAAACGTCATGATGCTTCATCTAGCAGTGTTTGGCTTTGATGTGATGCAACATCTGCTTCAGAGATGGCATTATTGTAGTTCTAAGCTATAAGTTGTGTGCTATAATTGGAAGGAAATGGCAGTGCATAGGTGCATAGTGAGGATTTGTGTGCTAATAATCTGTGTTGATGATAATTCCACTGGTTTCTTGTCTCAAATGACTTGAGACGTGTGCACAACTAAAAATTAGTTGCGCATACGTTTTTTCTTCCTCAACCTGGAAATTACATATCCAAATTTGCTTAATTTAAAACAAGATAGCGATAAGAAAAAAAATCCCTGCTTGGTGAAGTATATTCAAACTAACAGGTGCGAAAATATCGTATATACAGGAGTATTTATGAAACGCAAAAAGAAATTATTACATTTCACATTAATTTTTATTTTCAGTCATTTAAATTTATTTTACGATTTCAAGTAGAAAATACAAATCAGAGCCTAGATGTGAGGGATTGCGAAAATGTTTTGTATATGATGCTCCATTCTTAATTTTTCTATAATGTGGCTTAATTACACACAACGCGGATGCGGTGCTGATTTCCCGTAATGCTTCTCAAAGTTTTTGAAACCGGAAAAAAGTAGGAAATCGTAATGCATAGCTTTGAACATAATCTCTCTCAAGAAAGGACACAAATAGCACAGCTAAAAGATATAAGTATTTCATTTGCAGCATATCCTGCTACTCCATCCACACATCTTCTCAGAGTATACTCTAGAGACTATCTCATCATTCTGCAACCAACAAAGCATGATAGGGAGCTGACTTTCAGCTTGCAGCATGGTCATTGAGCTTGTACCGTTGAGTCATTCCTCCATAGATCTAAGCTTTTAATGACGCTCTCAGCGCTCATAGCGAGCAAACGCAAAATGTACTACGAATATTTGCACACTAGGAACTATCTAGGCAGCCAGTTGACATTTTGTCGGTTATTTTTTCGTTTGTTTTTTTACGTAATAGCCCTGCGGTTTCCTTTAAAGAAATATGGAGATTATTAAATCAATATATGATAGATTTATTCTAACAATATTTTTCAAAAATAAAAATAAAAAAGTATTTGTAAGGTCTGCAAACAAATTTTTAACAATTATAATATTCAGACATACCCGGAATGGTCGGAGAAGAAGAACATAATCCTGTCTTCCTTCTTCTGGGGCTACATTTGTTTCCAAGTGTTCGCCAGCCAACTGGCGAAAAACCTAGGAGTGAAAGTGATTTTCGCGATCGCTATGAGCATAGCTTCGATTTTCACGATTTTGGTCCCGTTCTTTGGAGAGGAATTAGGTTATGGAGGCGTCATGGCGTGCAGGGTTATCCAGGGCGCCGGCCAAGGGTTTCTGCTACCGTGTCTGCACACGCTGTTGAGTAACTGGGCGCCTATTGCGGAACGAGCCAAGTTTGGAGGATTGGTATATGCAGGTATTCGAATACAAATAACGATAAAAGAATTGAATATCAATGTCCAGTCGTCGCGTACTAATAGAGATACTTTAGCGCAGATGTTTCCCCAGCGTAAGTAGGTGGAAAATTTTAAAAGAACGAGAAGAAAAAGGAACAAAAGATATATTTCATTAAAGGTTTTATTACAAGAGAATGCTTTTACAGAAGTAGACAATATTATGAATCAGGAAGAATTGTTTTAACCAATTGTCACGTGCCAAAATCACGTAACCTTTTTTTTCCTATTTATCACTTTTCTTCTGTTTCGCTGAGGGTCAAAAGCCCATAAAAAAATGGAAGACGTAGCACCCAAAATAACTAAACTTAAGTTACGCAACAAAAAGAAAAGGGTAGTCCATAAATGGGTGCTTGGGGCCTAATATCCCAGAGTCTGGAAAACGACAAAAAGAACCCTGCACCACGACCTCAACGGAAGCTGAAAAGCGAATCACCGAATACGTAACGTTCTAGAGGAAGGAAAAACTGCAGAGTTTTTTACTGATCGTCAACACCATACTGAATCGCTGAGAAAGAAAGATATAATACGAGTGAAATTACACAATCAATAAACTATTAAATTTGCAAAAAGAAAATCATTGAAAAGGGGTTTGGCCTAGGAATGGGCACTCTATTATCAATGAGGAGAAATTCAAATTAGTGATATGTGATAAATAGAAAAAAAATGTTATGTGATTTTGGCACGTGACACAATGCGATGGACGAGTTTGCATATTCAATCCTGGACTGAACGAAGAAAGTGCACATCTTAAATCACTAGCAATACCGACCGACAGAATCAATTCTGTATTTTGTTTTTATTATTACAAACGATGGAAATGCCCTTTCACACAAGTGCTTCCTCTGCTATGAAAATTTCGACATATTTCACTCGAAAATGAGGGCTTACTCTTCTCAAAATCATATTTGACAAAAGAATCATTTTTACTTCCCACACCTACTGGCGAAAATTTTCGAAACTAAGATATTATGTTTTTTGGATGTTATAGGAAAGGTACATCACGAAAAACCATGTCACTCATTTCCGTCGGTCTGCATGTCTGTCTGTCCCCTAATGTTATAGCCGCCTATAACTTGAGAAGCATCGCTCGGATTACGATGAAAATTTTACACAATGCTATGTCGCAAAAGCTTTGTTTCTGTTAATAGGTCCAGTGGCGACGGAGAAAAAGTCCAAAGTTAGAGGGTTGCAGGAGGTAGGGGATCATGTTGGTATATTTCGCTCATCAATCGGGTGTGGATACGTGCAACGTGGTACCCCAAAGGACCAGCGACTGTCGTCGGTGGTCGTACGTCATAATCGGCAATTGTTCCCGCACTGTCTGCACTGTACATAATGAAGGCCAGAAACGGCATTCACGCGGGAATGGTCTGAATGGTCATCTCAATGACCACGTGGTCCTGTAGAAATTCCTTTCAGGGAGAAGAGAATGGTCATTTAATTTTTTGTTATACATGGTCGTAGCTAATTTTTTTCTTAGATGGGCTAACTTGTGGAAAACATAATCGTTTACGAACTGATGACAGCGGTGCGTGGTATGGCGTCGACTTACCTGACGCCATTTTTTATTTCAAGAGTTTGTCCTTGCTGTACTTCTGAAATCGCATCTATTTCTACGCAAAACGATAAAAAACGTCATCGTACGAGTTAGGAAAGTAGCGCAAAAGTTCACCAGTTAGATTCTTCAAATGGTTTGATATTGCAGTATTGATACCAATTTCATCATAAACCATCTCTTCTTCTGTTATTGATAATAATTTTGGAAATCAGGAAAAATTGCATACAAACATTTTGCGATTCCAGAGCTGCACCTTATCAATGTATTCGGTGCTAATGATTGAATGGCTGTGATTCATTGATTGACAGCTTTGTCAAAATATGCAAGGTCATCCACCGCATTGATGAATTTTGCTTATTTTTATTGAATCGACCGACTTGACTGGATTTTTCTAAAAATCGATTTTATCTCATTCGCACCGCGCGGGGCCCGCGCCTCTCTTTACATGTTGTCACGACCCCCAAAGGAGGCGCGCTCCCCGCTTTGAAGACCACCAATGCCCTAGCGATTGGTCATTTGCAGGTCAAGCTTTGGGCACCGTCGTGGCCATGCCTGTGACAGGAGCGATAGCAGATACAAGACTAGGTTGGCCTGTCAGCTTCTACTTGTACGGAGGTTTGGGTATTGTCTGGGTTCTCTGTTGGATCGCGTTTGGTCACAACACTCCGGCAGATGATAAAAATATTTCTACGGCTGAAAGGAAGTGGATAGAATATGGATTGGTGCAGGAAGATGATGTTGGTCAAGTGAGTCGAGCCTCTTCTTTGTCGTATTTAAGATCAGCGAGAATGTTCTTGACTACCCGTACATTTCTGAACTTACAATTCCCGCGCAATTGATTACGCAACAAGATTAATGCTATAATGGCATATTTTTGACTAATATTGCAGAAACACCCGACACCATGGAAATCTATTTTTACTTCGGTGCCTTTCTACGCAATTTTAGCTGCCCACTGTGGTCAAAATTGGGGTTTTTGGACATTGCTGACCGAAACTCCAACATATATGGAAAAGATACTGAAATTTAGCATAACGAAGGTAATCAAAATACTAGAAAAGAAGTCTACCTAGTCATGGAACAAAAGACGTACACTTTTTCAATACAGTCCCCACTACATCAATGCACTTGCGCCATTTCTCCTCCAGTAAAGGTATACCCTTATAAAAAAGGTGTCGTCTCAACTCTCTCGAAAAAGTCGTCGACGCCTGCTTTTAGGCCATCATCTGAGTCGGCGGATGGTGCATCATTCTCATTGACGATAACCAATCTCTCACGAATTGTATTCAGCTGATAGCCCTCTTTTGTCAGAAATTCTATGACACTGCGATACCTTCTCTAATTTTAAGTTACTTATTTTCTCTAACAATGCACTTTATAAACTGGAAAAAAAATATCAAAATTAACTCAAATTTGGCAAGTAATGTCAGAGCACCTGCCAATATTTGACATTGTGCCTATGCGTTTCAATTGTTTTTTTATGGCTAGGTCGATGTCTTTTCTAGTGTCTCTCGTAGTAAGATGCAGAAATATAATGAAAACTAAGAATTGCTTCATAGAATGTTAGCGAAATCTATTCATTTTGATTACATTCTGATTTGAGATAAAAAATTATGATTTCAGAACAGCTTGTTATGCGCCTTGCCGTATTTCGTGTGTTGGGCGTTAAATCTTGTTATGAGCCCGATAGCAGATATGTTGATCGATAAGAGATATGTCAGCTTGATTGTAAGCAGGAAGATATTCAACAGCATCGGTAAGATCACAATCAGGTAACATCTCAATGTCATCAATTGATTCGATACGTATATTAAAATGTTGTGTTTAAAATCTGACAGTTCAATTTATTGACCAAAAATCAAAGATAAAGTTTGAGGTAAAGGAGTTTTTGAAAAACGGAAAACGACAGAGATTAAATTATTACGATTGTCCGCCATGGGTTCCTGCATTATTTTAAAAGATTCAATAATCAGTTTTGGATTGTCGGCAAGGATCACTACCATATCAAGATAGCAAAGCAACAGAAAACACTAGTGAAGCTATGGGCACAACCAATCACTGACCTACCTGTCCACTGCCTCCAGCAGCCAGAGTATCAAAAGAGAGGTCAATACAATGTCTGCAACCGTCCAGAAGGACTGGAGGTGTAACTTCTGCACACGTAAAGGAGGCTATATGATACAGGGTAGCCAATGTATAACTGACTGATTTAAATTGCGCGCCATTTTTGATACACGCATTTCAGTAGGTGGCGCCGTAGTAGTTGGTCAAAGCACATGTGTCCAATTCATCATGGAGTGCTACACGATCCCACAACGCGTCCGTATTGTTAAAACGTTTTACTTAAATAATGAGTCGATTGTTGCAACAATTCGGAAGCTATGACAAGATTTCGGTCAAATCCAACCTGCAAAACATGTGGTTCCAGCAGGACGGAGCAACTTGTCACGCATCTAGGGAAACAATGAATCTTTTGTGAACAATACTTCCGGGACGTTTAATTTGAGCAGCTGGAGAACGATATTACGGAAGCGATTGGAAATATTTCTCCTGAATCTTACCAAAAAGTGATAGAAAATGTAATCAACAGGGCTCAGGTTTGCGTGGCTGCTAGAGGCTGACATTTGTTTGATATTATTTTTCATACATACTTTCTACGTTTCAATAAAAGATTAGGATGAAAAAAATTGACGTATTTTATTTCACAAATATTCAAGATATAAACCAGTCAGTTACATGTCGGCCACCCTAGTCACGCGGAAATGGCAGATTTGATGCTAGCTGCCTGCTGACTTACGGTCATCGGATGCTCGCACAAATACAATGCGATTGCTCCCTCCAGATATCTGGCACAAATAGCGCCCATGAAAACTGACTTTCGTGTATTGGTTAAATATTCCTAATCTATTTAAATTTCATTTACTGTGTTATATTCATAAGGTTTTACTTACCTCAATTCCACTAAGTATTTTTAAAAGATAAGTTAAAATTTCGTGGTTCTATGTACTCACGATATGTTATAATATATAATAAATTGATACAATAACAATGCCTCGTCGCAGAACCTAATTTTTTACTAAATGTTTTACTTATAATGCTACAATCATGTACAATTTTTTACCCTTAAATTTCGAGAATTAGAAAAAGTATTTCAAAAACATCATTTTCGCACAATCATTAACATAAATTTATTTCTGACTTTTGCTCATTACTTATACACATATGTTGAAATCTCTGCATTTTTTGTAGTATACAGGTATATCGATTTTATTTTTTGTATTGGCATTTTACGGGTTGAAAGGTAGAATAGCTTAAGCTTTTTGATAAACAAAATAGCTCTGTAATGTTGAGTATGTAAGATGAATAAATTTTGATTGATTGATTTTTGTATTGGCCAGGTTTTTTCGTGCCCGCGTTGGCACTGGTCGGAATGACATTCGTCGGCAGTTCAAACAGTCAGCTGGCCGTCGGCATCTTGGTGATCGCCGTCGGTTTCAACGCCGGCCAATTTTCCGGCTTCAACTTGAACCACATCGATATTTCGCCGACTTACGCCGGAACGCTCATCAGCTTGACGAACACTTGCGGCACAGCCTTCTCGATCTGCGCTCCTTTATCTGTCGACCTTGTCAAAGCTCTCACCGGTTACGAAGAGGTAAGAATAACATTTGCCACGCACCACTCAAAATACTATCATATTTTCTAAAATTATGCAGTGGTTTAATAACCGAAAATTAACAATTAATTTTGCTAAAACTCTTTTTTTAAAATTTTCATCACTATTCAATTATGTTATAACATCCTTCTCTTTAAGGTAAAATCTGAAAATCAGTAGAGTCAATGATACAAATTATTTAAGAATTTATCTAGATCCCTACTTGAGATGGGACATACATATTACTTATATATTAAAGAAAATCAGATTCATAGCATATCAAATAAAATTCCTAACTGGTATTATTACTTAGTATTAGCCAGGGATAATATATCAAGATTTAGTCGAGCCACTCATAACATACGGTATAGTGGTATGCGGTGCTGCATGCATGACTTATATTAACGATATAGACGTGTTCCAAGGAACAATTCTAAAATCAGTGTTTGGAAAATCAAAATTATACCCAACTGATGAGATATAATGATGCAGAGGTATATGATACTAAACAATTTTATTTCTCACACATCATCACCCATTATCACAAAATTATTAGTGAACGCGACACAATTAAACATAACACATAACACCAGATATAAATTGCGCGCAAAAAATGTTACTAAACCAAACTCATCTGTAATGAAACGATCCCCCAATAGGATGAAATATTGATTGAATATTTTTTAAAAATGTGTGCTAAATATTTGTAGCGGCAGTTTTTTCAATATTTAATAAATAATTCTTTTATATATCCATAAAATATGCATGATATACATCTGTAGTATATACAGGGTGTCCCGAAAAAAGTGTGCAATATTCTACCAGCGGTTTCTAGAGCTTAAAATAGGAAGAAAAGTTTATATAAACATAGGTCGACAAACGCCCCTTAGGGCGCTACGGTCTTTTAAAGGGGCTCCCCTGAAGATGGTTTTTCCTTCATATTTCCGAAACACATTGCGGATTATTTTCAAACATATTTAAAGCAATACGATGATTTCCCAGTGGCCTTCCTGAGCCCTGCATGCGCTGAAAACTTCCATGGTTTGACAAATTCCGGTGAATATCAGTGAACATTCGACGTCCAGGTACTATGCGATTGGGAAATCTTCTTTGATATTATCTTACGGCTGCCAATGAACTGCCATTGCAAAACCCGTACACAAAGTGCATGTCAGTCAGTTCTCTGTCTGTAAATCTTGGCATTTTAAATCGATTTAATAAAAATTCTGATTTTAATCTAGTAATTTTACACTGCTAATAATGTCAGCTTAACGTCAAAATAAGTCATAACAAATCAAAACAACTTTTGTTTGCAGTCATGGCTAACTATGTATAATCAACAATTCATTTAAATTCGCAGTACATTTCCTATCACGTGACAAATTTTTTAGTTTGATTTTATTCAAAAACAGCACAATTTATCGATATTCATAAGAGTACCTTTTTTATGTAGAAAACCCTAAATTTTCAAATTCTAAAATTGAATTTCAAAAATAGAATCACACAAAAATTTTGGGGCTAAAATAACCTGAGTCCGTCCCTGTTACATACGCTTCCAAACAAAACGGTCTAAAATTGTTAATATTTTTAAATCCAGCATAAAAACTAGGCTAGCATACCAAATTTTATGTCTTTATCTCAACACGTTTCGGAAATATTAAGGAAAAACCATCTTCAGGGGAGCCCCTTCAAAAGACCGTAGCGCCCTTAGGGGACGTTTGTCGACCTATGTTTATATAAACTTTTCTTCCTATTTTAAGCTCTAGAAACCGCTGGTAGAATATTGCAAACTTTTTTCGAGACACCCCGTACAATTTATATATTTTCGCAATATTTTTCCAAATATTTAGAAATTATAAGAGGAAAAATTTTTAAATATCAGTTTTATAAATTGATGGAATATCTAATATAAAATTGGGTTTATAAAGAAAATTCATTCTAGATGTATTAAATGATTTAATCTGCTAGAAAAATATCATTAAGTAATATTCTAGACCTCTTCTGCATCTTGCCACGCCCCTAAAAAAACGAATTAACTAATTATAAAGTATTAAAGTATAAGCCAGTGTTTTTTTGTTTGCGAGTGATATTCCTATTAACTGCTCTAGAAAGTGGTTATATATATGTATATAAAAATGAATCCCTATTTCGCGTGGTCACGCCATAACTTGAGAACAACTTTACCGATTTCATTCATCTATTTGTTAAAAGCTTCCTAATACTGTATAGAAGGTTCCTACGGATAGAGAAATCAAGAAAATTGCACAGAAAATTGGGAAATCATTGAAAACCACAACAGAAGAAATATTCCAAGTACCAAAAGATACAGGCACTCCTGTCCGCCATCTTTATTCCAACAGCTATTGACAGTTAGCTATGTGAGAGAAAGTTACTTATGAGAACAAGGTGCTTTCGTTTCTAGACTTACATTTCTACCATCCGTACTTTGTGGTGGCCCCTTCAACAGAAGCTGCAGTGTTGCCTAATTGATATCTTTGTCAGTTGACTCTATAAATAAAAATGGCGGATGAAAATGCTTTTCTTTTGCTTAATTGATATTATGGTTTAACAGTGTTTATCGATGAAAACGTATTGTTTTAATTAATTAGTAGTGTACAATCCATTCGATTTGCGCTTTTATCCAGTTTTCAGTTTGTTCAGTGAGTTTTTTGAGAAGTATTTGTTCAACTATAATTAACAAGGGTGGAAGTTAGTTCATCGCAATGATGCCTTATATTAAAATTGTGATTCTTCAAAATGCCACCAATTAGACCTACCAACCTAGGTCGCACAACTCGCAATGCTGCAAGAATACGAAGAAGTCAAACTGACGAGCAGCGAGAGGCGAGGAATGAAGTTGAACGGATCGGAGGACTGAAATTCAACAACGTGGAAGTGTCTCATTTAATCCCGATTGAGCTGCATTCAATTTTGACGTAACAATCGATTACAGTTCACAACAAATCGTTGCTATAGGATCGATGAACGTTGTGAGTCCACATTGCAAGGCTTTCAAGTTTGAGATTAAGCCCCTGGATTATGTTGGGTCAGTGGAAAGATCAAATTGACTCCATTGGTACCACCACTAAAGCCACTACATTGATTGGTTTCCAGAAATGGGCCAGATTCTAATCATTTTTTGACTCATATCCAGCAATATAATAATTGCCTTCAAATGACGCCATTTGGCGCAACAAAATTTATTCCACATGATTTTATGCCTACTTTCGAGGTAAGTTTATGGGGGAATGTTGCCAACGTATTTTGCTAGCCACATGCCGGTACAGACACTTCGCTATACAATTACCTATATTCGATATACATATTTACACTTTTATTATTCATTAGTCATCCCAGTTCACAGCTAAGATGGGACAGCGTCTGTCGGGTCAAGTATGGAAATATAAAATGCAGTGGAACGATATGGGTGCTAAGCACTACTGAGTTACTCCGAGTAACTCAAGTAGGTCACTGAAAAGCAGCTCTATAATGCACCTAAAAGGACTCGGCAAGAAACTCACGATGGATTCTGATCGAAATCTGCTGTTCGTATATGAACGCACTTTTTTTCTCTGATATATTTTTAATGAGTTATAAGATGCAACGGTGGATGCATATTAATACGAAAAAACCTCCCTGGAGGGACATACCGTATTTACATCAGGCGTGTTACGGGATGTGTAAAAAGACCGATGCCATCCCCATATCGAAGAATATACATATTACATAAAAAATATTTATGGAATATTTTCTAAATAATGGAGTTTTAATATTTTCCATTGATTGAAAAGTAAATATTTGATGAATATGATAAAAGAAATATTGTATTTAAAATATATAAAAGATATTGACTAAATATTTATTAAAAATATTATAATCCAAATATGTATTAAATATGTATTTAAGATAACAAATATTTAAATAAGATAAAAATATTACTACATATTGAATAAATATTTCTTGCTGTCGCGGTCTTGCCTGTAATAAGAAAAAAATTAAAAAATGGATTAACACGCTTGGGAGAAACAATATGAATGATATAGTCTCAAATAATACACAGTACATGATCTAATTGTCTGTGGTTGGTTTGGTTTATAATTGCAGAAAAAAAAATGAGGTTTTACGAATGAAAGACTAATAAGACAAATCAAACGTCAATGTATAATAACGTGAATGCCTGCCATAATACAGGGTGCGGCAGAGAGGATGGACGGTTTTAAAAAAATGATAAAATAGTTAATTTTTACTCGAAAACAAATTTATTGATGGAATCAGGTTCACAAGGAAATTTGAGACAGTCAAGTGTGGAAAATCACATCAGGCATGTGGTGGCCGAAATCGTTGATGCAGTGCTGGAGGCGGACTGCGAAGAAAGACCTGTCGAACGCGTTCAACATTTTCAGGAGTTCGAACTGTTCGCGGCGCTCCTCCTGGTCTTCTGTTGATCAGTTCACAACGCCTGCGAAGTGATACAACCCAACGAAGGATGGTGTTTCGAGAGGGAACAGCTCTATTCCGATGAATGTTGAAGTGGCGACGAAACTCACGCTGTACGACGATGACTGACTCATTATTACGGACGAAACAATCATAGGCGAAAACGCGATGCTCCACCGTCGAAGGCTTCATAACGACAACTGGTAAAATAATGCTAGGATCTCACGAGTCAAACCGCACCCTCCCCACATCTCTCGTAGACGGAGGCGGAGAGTACTACCCATCCCAAAAACGTCCGTCCTCTCTGCCGCGCCCTGTACATATTCAATTTAACCAAGAGTAAGGGCCCCACGGACCGTTCTAACGGACAATGACGAATAGAAGAGACATATTCAAAATGACTGGTAACAAAACCCGAAATAAGATTGAGCTTAAAAATCAAGTGCGCGCTAGATATCAATTGAATCTTATCGATACTAAATTAGTATAATCTAACCTAGTGATGTTTACTTCCAGGACCAAGAAGAATTGTGGAAGTTCATATTCTACATAGCAGCAGGTTTCTACCTAATCACCGGTATAATATTCAACTTGTTAGCCAGCGGCGACGTTCAGCCTTGGGACAAATCGGATCCGACCACAAAAGCAAGGAGGAGCATCCAAAAGAAAATGTCTGTGATTTCTGTCAAATACGATTAATCTACGACTGTTTATACATTTGGCATCGCTTTTCAAGAAATTTGTATATACCTAGTATAAAGCTTATAATACATAAATATAGTTATATAAATTATGTTTCATCTTCCTATACCTACAAGCGCTTGCGACCGTTTTTTTGCCTACGCCACTGGGAGGGAAAAATTTCGAAAATGAGATATTACCGTTTTTGGTTTTAATATGACATGTGCTCGTACATACATCACAAAAAACCATGTCACACATTTCCGTCGGTCTGTCTGTCTGACTGATCGATAATCGTTGGACCGCCTATAACATGGGAAGCACCGCTCGGATTTTGTAGTTTTGTAGCTTTTTAAAATCGGTCCAGTGGCGGCGGAACTAACTGATGATAGTATATTCACGCTCCCAACCCTGGCAATTCTATGCATAAGTATTTCACACATCATGAATTTCCCCGCACAACAGAATAATAGAGAAATGTTTTCCATCCACGTACTCTTGCCCGGCGTACCGGTCCGTACTGCGGTGCACAAAACTTATACTCAGCAAATTTCGAAATTCATGTCCTGAGACATTGATGCTAACTTGCATGGATTTATCATCAATTTAACATTTTTATTATATCAATAAGTATCTACAATAATATTTTAAAAGCAAAAATTTAGATAATATACTGACACCAAAAAATACGATTAATTTATTAGTCTAACAGTCATTAGCTCAACTCGTCCCTCGGTCTGAAATTACTAATAAAAAAATATATACAATCGAATCTGTTCGTATCCTTATAAATTGAATATTACTAAAATATTTGGTCATAAGTATGGATTGTATAGTCAAGCTTTCATTGCTAAAAAATAAATATGTAAAGGGTGTTTTTTTAGAGGTATAGAACTTTAAATTGCACTAAAACAACGGTGGATTATTCGATTGACCTGAATTTTTTTATTAAAAAGAAAAGATAATCTTGTGGCATTACATTTTAAATATGATTTCTGGCATATGACTGCCACGGCTGGCTCGGATGTAGTCCAATCTGGACGTCCAATTTTCGATAACTTTTTCCAACATTTCTGGCCGTATATCGGCAATAACATGGCGAATGTTGGCTTTCAACTGGTCAAGCGTTTGTGACTAATCCGCATAGACCAATGACTTTACATAGCTCCACAGAAAATAGTCTAGCGGTGTTAAATCACAAGATCTTGGAGGCCAATTCACAGGTCCAAAACGTGAAATTAGGCGGTCACCAAACGTGTCTTTCAATAAATCGATTGTAGCACGTGTAGCTGTGTGACATGTTGCGCCGTCTTGTTGGAAACACAGCTCCTGGACATCATGATTGTTCAATTCAGGAATGAAAAAGTTAAAGTTAGTAATCATGGCTCTATACCGATCACCATTGACTGTAACGTTCTGGCCATCATCGTTTTTGATGAAGTACGGACCAATGATTCCACCAGCCCATAAAGCGCACCAAACAGTCAGTTTTTCTGGATGTAACGGTGTTTCGACATAGACTTGAGGATTAGCTTCACTCCAAATGCGGCAGTTTTGTTTGTTGACGTAGCCATTCAACCAGAAGTGCGCTTCATCGCTAAACAAAATTCGCTTATGAAAATCGGGAACAACGGCAATCTCGTTTTGGGCCCATTCAACGAATCTACGCCTTGCTTGATGATCGTTTGGCTTCAATTCTTGCACGAGTTGTATTTTGTAAGCACGCAAACCAAGATCCTTCCGCAAAATCTTCCATAAAGTGGATGGACACATCCAATTCTTGTGCTCGATGGCGGATGGACTCATTCGGGTCTTCCTCAATGCTACGCTCTACAGTAACAATTGCTTCTTCTGTATGCACCGTACGGCGTCTCTGGGGATGCGGGTTATCAATAATTAGTTTAAACGTGGTACGAAAACGTTCCATGGTTAATCGAATTAACTGCTCTGATGGACGATTTTGTCGACGATAAAATGGACGTAGTGCGCGATACGTATTCCGCACAGAAACATTATTTTCGAAATAAAACTGTACAATTTGCAAGCGTTGTTCAGGCGTGAGTCTATTTATGATGAATTGCCAAACCAAACTGAGAATAAATCACTTGACAGCTGTCAAATCGGTCGCCATCTTCAAAAGTAATGTCAACCTAAAGTTCTATACCTCGAAAAAAAACACCCGTTATATTAAAAAAATCTATTTAAACTGTGTTCCTTGAAATGAAATCATTCCCTCACGCATTATAGATATTCGATTTGTGGTGACACCATTTGATATTTTTGAACGAAGCTGTTATGTTCTTAAAACTCGGCAATACTGTTAATAATCTCAAAATGGCGGAAATTCTTAATAGTGAAAAGAATTGCTGCAAAAAAGTATTGGATTTCAATAATTTGAACATTACATTTCTCTGTATCATTACTTTATATTAAAAGGTAAGTCATTATATTGTTCGAATGTTTTAATGATTTTTTTCTTGATTTGGGGAGTAAAATGCATTCACAAAATGCTAAATCAATTTGAGGTGATGTATTGTTGGTTACGGTGTCGTTTATACAAATCCGTCATTCCCTCACTATATTAGAAAGTGAGGCAATGAAAATTATATGAGGGAATAAATGATGCATATATAAAATTATGGTTTGGGTGTTATTATTTAACTCCAGGTTCTTTAGCGTGTGGTTTCAATTTCACCAGATATCCGTATATCAAGAATGGGGAAAATGAAGAAGTTAAGTGAAGAAGAAAAGAAATTAAAAAAGGAGTACGACAGAAAGAGGCGAGAACAAATGAAAATTAATGCTGAGTCTTCAGAAGCTTTGCGTGAAAAAGAAAGATTAAGTATTTAAAGAATAAGTTCAGTCAATGCGTCCTATGAGTGCAAGAGAAACTAGCCAAAAACGAAAACAATAGAAAAAATAAAGCTTATAGGGAAAAGCGAGTTACAGTATAAACAAATGTACAGAGAATAGTTAAAAACACACACCCACCAAGTCCTGCACCATCTTTACTGCACAGATCAGACAATTTATCTGCTCTTAATAGACGTAGAATGCGCAAGCGACGAACTATTCTGTACACGAAGATTAAAAGTTTGGAAAATAAAAAAAGGAACGCAGTCAAGCTTATCGAAAAATTTAGAAGAGGTGTTTGAGAATGAAGACTAAAAATGCTGACCCAAACTCTCAAGCAACTAAAGTGCCTTCGCTTTTAAAGAATATACAAGTTCCTGACGTAAGAAAAAGACTCATTTTCGGAGAAGCACTGCTAACGGACCTCAAGAATATCTAGGAAGATCTTAGAAGTAAACATGGAGAAAGGAAAAAATATTGCATGTTGCAGCTGCAATAAGTACAAAAGATACAAATTGCTATATAGATCGAAACATTTTTTCAAAAACGATACGTACAAAAAGAACCGTACTCGTAAAGTTAGCTCCAAAATACTGAAAGTTAGGGATGACGTCTTAGAGAATGATGAAAATACGAGAATGGCCCTTTAAAGTATAAAACAAATGTCAATACATCTATTAATAAATTAACTCATGTTTTTTATTGAAATTCAGCATCAAATTGTTGTAAAAATCATTCCCCCATCCTATCAGTCATTCCCTCATTTCATAGTTCTTTAAAAGTCATTTTCCTACATGTTATACACAAAAATATGGAGGACCTTCATTTTAAATGAACCTCACTAAAGTAAAACTTTATATTTCTGCAAAAAAAAGGATATATTCTCATTTTTTTTTTGAGAAGCACAAAATGAAATTTCTAAATTTGTTGAGAAATACCCATACGCGGAATGAACGCGGCCCGCCCTGCTGCACAGATATGGAATAAAACAACTTTGCCAGATGGACAGTAATTACCGGTAGGGCAAGGAAATAATGTCTATGGACTAACTGTATGAGCCTGTTTGACATGACTTGATCCGGTTAATTTCTCTTTCGTTTATAACTGATTTTTTTCGCAGAGGATTTAAATTGCGCTATAGGTACTCAATTATCTATGCACTGATGAAGGCGTTGCGCAGGAAGTGCGGAGTCGACCCACTTGGCGCAATTTTTTAATTTATACATGTAGATCAACACACTACTTCCAAGTTGAGTGACAGAGCTTAAAATGCGGCAAGTTAGAATGCCAAACAAACTCTATACAGGTAGGGTTATATCATAATCAGACTTTTGATTATACATATACAATACCCCAAATAAATTACTGACAAGCTTTACATTTGATAACTTCTTATAAGCCTTCCTTGTTAGTTCATGTGCTCATAATGACTGTTACAGTGTTACAAGTATGTCGTATGATTACGAACTCACTTTACTTTGCACTACAGCATTATCTGATTTTACAATTTATCCAGCCAGTCTCGGTTATATATGCTGAAGTATTGCTATAAAATAATGCTAGGTATAATGAATATTACATTATAAATATAACTTGTCGCATTTATCACTACTTATTGCAGGGAATTACATATAAAAGTTCTTGACTACTAACTGTTCATCAAGTATAAAGCGTATACGTTATGTTAAGAGTATGTCTGAATTTCTTATTGCGAATATTGGTTTAGGATCGGTTTTATTCGCGCAAATGTATATTCCCAAGGTTTACCTTGTTTCTCTGGTTAAGCTAGTGCATTTTTATTACAACTTTGCTAGTAATAACATCTGAGAACTGGTCGGTATTCAGTAATAATTTTATTTATCTAATTAATAGCCGAGTACTTGAATAGATTGATGAGTCGTTTTTCATTATCATTTAACAGGCAGTCTCGCGCCGAATATCCATAATAACGCCAGAATGAATGAACCTAAGAAATCAGATCACGAGACATTGACTGGTAAGTAAGATATAAATGTTATTGATTTTATAAAAATCTCTGAAATAAGAAAATAATGTTATGGCTCCGAAACATATGTTTCAATATATGAATGCCTTTTTAGGTCCTTTGATAGGAATACGACATGCTCAGATAGCTGTTCTGTTCTTAAATCTAGCAATCGGCTATGGCATGAGGACAAATCTTTCAGTCGCCATTGTGGCGATGACCGACAATAGCACCACTACTAACACTGATATACCCGTAAGTTTATCACCAGTTAAAATTAAATTATTTAATAGTTCTGTATCGCATACTGCAGACTGATCTGTTGCTCTACTATCTTTGATTTATCAGATAATAGGAATAATAATAATAATAATACTTACTACCCATTAGACATGTATCAAACATGTATAGGGTTCGTCAACAAACAATTTACAGTATGTACTCGTATATACATCAAAAAAACACAAACAGTAAAACGACAAGCAACAACAAACAATAGCTTAAATTAGATATTTTGAAATGGACACCATAGGGAAACAACAGCAAATAAAATAGATTAGCTTTACAGCAGTTGAAATTAATAAATTAACAGAAATAGAATATGAACGGTTGTTACGGAAAAATACATTCTGACTATAATCATGTCACTTGCTCTTTTGTAAATTATATAAATGAGAATACACTTCAAGATAACAATAATGATCGATGATTTTTCAACATGTTCAAAGAAGATGACATTGTATTAAAAATCCGAACGTTATCACGTACTTATACTAAAGTATACAGGGTTTCACAACTTATCCGACGAATTTTAACCACTATGCTGTTAGAGTATTGGAGTGGACTGTATAGCGGCTGGTTCAAGTATAAAGTGTGGTACCTTTGATCCGGTATTCTGTCTAATTCTGGTTCGTATTCCTGGCGTAGCGGTGATGCAGGAGCGTAAAGATTGCGGGTGTGGGAGCGGTTCTGACTCTATGCGTTTGCTGCGTATATGCGGTTTCTGACTATATGCGGATGCTGCGTAGACACGTGGTCTCACTGTATGCGGTTGCGGGTATATATGTATAATGTTCGCACGGTATGCGAGTTGCGGCGTATCTGCGTGATCTCTCTGTGAGCTAGTATCTTCGTTCCTTTTATTGTCCTAGCAGCGCACGCCCGCGGGGTAGGCAAGCGACAACTCAGACCAGCCTTACAATAAAGCCAGCCCAAAAATCCCTAACATATGCAACTGTTATGAAAGAAGTTGATTTTTCAAAAAAAAAAAACAAATGTAATAAGAGTCCTACAGAAATCGAGATAATAATATTATATTTATTATTATACAGTTCTCTACTCGTGCTGTGGCTCGACGGCTTGGGTTATCCCAATGGTAAGTGTGGTATGTTTTGCATGAAAACATATTCCACCCTTACCACTACACACCTATGCACGTGATAGAGGAAGGAGATCCCATGAGGCGCATGCAATTTTGTCGTTTTATTTTAAACGCAATTATTTAAGAAAAATTCTATGGACCGACGAATCAAAATTTGATAATGACGGCATAACAAACTACCATAACGCTCACTATTGGCGTAAACGAGCAGGGGGAAATCCTCATATGAAGAGACCAAAAGGATCTCAAAGGCGATTTTGACTGAATGTCTGGATGGGCATTAGAAATAACTGTTTGGTAGAAACACATTTCCTACCCGACAGATTAAATGGAGAAGCCTATGAACATTTCATAAGAAATGTTCTATTTGAATTACTTGAAGACGTGCCGCTACATACAAGACACATAATGATTTTTCAGCATGACGGGTGCCCAGCACATTTCAGATGTGTTAGAAATTGGTTAAATGAGCAAGCAGTATCCGATGCTATGGATCGTTAGACGCGGACCAATCCCATGGCCAGCACGCAGTCCCGATCTCACACCCCGACTTTTTTGTGTGAGGTCGCATGAAAACTTTAGTATACTCTGATCAAAATCCTGTACCCACAATAGAAGACCTCAGAAACAGGATAATACGAGTACATGCAGCACCTCTCGTAGGAATTCGGCGGTAGTAAAATCAGCTGTCATAAGAAGAGCACGTGTGTGCAGTAGAAATAGAGGGCGCCATATTGAAAATGTATTATAAAAATAAAAAAATTGAGTTTCAAACAAATTATCCTGTATTAAGGTATGATTTTGTAAGTGTAGTATTTTTATTGCTTTTTCCTTCCTCCTTTTATAATAGTCATATTTTTGCCAATACTTAATTGATTTGTGTATTTATACCTCATTTGAAAGGTAATGAAACGTAGATGTTTTCTAATTATTTTGTACGAAGAATTTGTATGCGACATTTTCTAGTAAAGTGAAGGTTTTCAGATGAACGAAGATTTTTTTAACAAAAATCGAACTATTTTGAAGCTTACTGCATGAGATAACGTCCATAATGTACATTTGAGTATCAATTTTCGTATTTTTGAATATTTTTATTGTAAAGCCAAAAAAAAATCAAATGAAACACCCAATTTTCAAGTTTTATGACTTGGTGAACGTATAAAGGATGTTAATTTTATAAAATCTTAAAAATTAGTATAATCCGAAAACGGCTAATTTTCGGACAGTAGTTCCCATAGTAAAATCGACTCAGATTGGCTTGTACTATCTCCCCCCACCGGCTCCACATCTATTTTGCCGTCACCCTGTATATTTTGCGTTCATCGTCGTGATATTAGAACACGCATTAATAATTTATTGTAGTAAATGTTGTACCAAACACCTAAAGAAAACAAAATACCAGGAATGTTTTGTTTTCTCATACTGATAAGAACGTCTAAATAAGGTTTACTCTGTATCGTGGGTGATCTGAATGAAGAACGGTCGATTTTGGTGAAGTTAAATAAGAAAGAATTTTGCGAGTTTGTTTTTAGTCATTTATTGATAATGAGGAGTATTGTTTTAGCGTACGGACAAGCAGGGCAAAATTCGCGAGCGGCTTCTCGTTTGTATGCACACTAATTTCCGAATAGGTACATACCACATCACGAAATATTTAGTTCAATTGGTTTACGTGCACGTGCTAGTGGAGATATGCGCCCCAGACGTGGAGCGGATGGTGGTCGGGTTCGCCCACAATGCGTTTTAAATCCCGAAGACGAAATTTTGGATACTGTGGAAGAAAATCCGGGAATAAGCACAAGGCAGCTGGCCCAACAGGTCCCAGAAGTGTCACATGCAACAGCGTGGCGCATATTACATGAGGCCCAACTGTACCCTCATCACGTCCAGAGAGTCCAAGCGTTGCTATCTACAGACTACCCCCTAAGAGTAAGATTTTGTGAGTGCTTGTTGACAGAAAATGCTCAAAACGCCCGTTTTACAGCTGATTTTTTGGCCACCGATGAAACTATTTTTACTCGTAATGTGATAACCAATCTTCATAATACTAACGTTTGGTCCTTTGAGAATCCTCACGCAGTGGTCCAGACACACTTCTAACCTCGTTTCTCTTTAAACGTGTGGGCAGGTATTGTCGATGAACGTCTAGTCTATTTGGAATTTTTTTGGAATGATTTTCCGGTCCTTCTTAAAGATCTGTTATTGGCGCCCGAGCACGGATGTGGTTTTTGGCCATGGTTTAGAAGTTCGTGATTTTTTGAATCAGGTATACCAGATACGCTGGATCGGAAGGGGTGGACCAATTGCATGGCCTCCACGGTTTCCAGATCTCAATCATCTGGACTTCTTTTTACGGGGATTCTTGAAAAACGAAGTATACCGTACTCCAGTTCAGAATATTGAAGAATTGCGTGACCAAATTACAGTGGCTGCCGATAATTTGAGCTTTCAGACACAGTAAGAAGAGGTGTATTTGAATTCGTGCGCCGAAACTGGATTAGACGCCCCCAAGTTTGCATTGCAGTCAATGGAAGCAATTTTGAACAGCTTTTATAAGTATCTCGATTTCTGTAGGACTTTTATTACATTTTTTTTATAACGTAGATCAACTTCTTTGTAACAGTGCATATGTGGTTAAAATTTGTCGGATAACTTGTGAAACACCCTGTAGAATTACGTACAATATTCAACACAAATGGCAAAGTATGAAATAGTATATTTGTAGAGTTGTAGTGATCCCAATAATTAGAGTATTGTTATCAATCCCTTCAAGAGCGACAATGTTTTATTACTCTGAAGTTGTTTACATCTGGTATGCGTTTTGTTTACCAAAGGAAAAGGAGGTAGAAAGAGAGTCAGGACCCTTTCGGTGCGTCGACGGGGGAAGACAGCTTAGTATGGACTAGGCAACCAGCATCCAGGCAGTTCGTATGGTTGACCCATCGGAGCTTTCTAATTAACAATATTCCTGACAGTTTTATTAACGGCTTATAACAGTATAGTAAGCATAACTGGGTTGAAGATTACAATATTAGAATGTTTTTAGACGTACGATTGGGAGAACAAGAGCGTGATCCTGTCGTCATTCTTCTGGGGCTATATCACGCTACAGATATTCGCAGGCGAGCTAGGAAACAGATACGGAACGAAGTGGCTGTTGTTCGTAGCGATGTTCGTGAATTCGACGGCGTGCATTTTGATCCCCACGATGGCGAACGCAGTCGGATCGTACGGCGTAATGGGGTGCAGGGTCGTTCAAGGGATGTCTCAGGGATTTTTCTTCCCTTCTGTCTCTAACCTCCTCGGACAGTGGATACCTCCTACAGAGAGGTCCACCATGGCTACTGTTGTCTATGCAGGTACTAATACACTTTACTATACCACCACGAGATACAACGAAATGTTTATATTTTTTCGAGCTCTTATTTAACTTAATCTGCTATATGTGGGACAAATATTGGACCTGAATTATGAACAAATTAACTTTAAGAATCAATTTATTCATACAATTTAAATATACAAGGTGTTTCAAATTCGACCCTCACCATTAGGAATCTCATAAACGGTAAGAGATAGGTAGAGAGTCGCTTAAATTGGGGCAAAGTTACGTACTTGGGTAATTAACAAAACGCCGCTTAGAAAGTTTTGAAATTCAAAGTAGGTCTGGAGAGAGAAGGGAAAACTGAATTTTATTTTTCCCTGACTTCATTGTAGTGGGATTCCAGAATAAATTGCACATTTACACTGCCACTTGTTCTCCTCTACAAAATCATATAATTATAATTTCAACATGACGTTTCATCTCTTGTCCTCCAGCATCAACTTTATTTTTTCTTATAGACGACATGTTGGATATTTGCACAGATATATAGAGTTTAAAATTCTGATTCCAAAATATACAATATGTCATACATTGACATTGCCAAACTTTAGTTAGAAACAGAATTTCCTAGGAAATTATTTAGTCACTGCTATGATAGGGGTAACAAATGGCTTAATGAGAAAAACAGTGAGCAGATCACGTCATTTTAGCTTCCGTACGGCGATCGCTGCAAAATATCGATTCATCATTGTATGATTTGTATCTATCGAAATTTTGAAACACAAATATAGTTAGGAGATTTATGGAGTCCTATTAATGAAATGTATGAAAACAACTTGTAGGTATATATAAACACTATAACGTAAAAAAATAAGTAAAATCAAAAATACATTTTTAATAACAAGCTTTCAGTTATCTGATAAAACAAATTAAAAATTTTATAATAAATACTTTTCCGATTGGAGATATCCAAAGGATAATGAAGGTCCTTCTTCATCTCAAATTCGCAAATAAAAGCGTGTTGCACTTTGACAGCAGTATAGAAAAGCTTTAAATTGAAAATTTGAGATGAAGGAACTTCATTATCGTTTAGATATTTCCAATCGGAATAAAATTTTTCAAACTTCTAGTTCATTTGGTTACAGATAAATAAAAGAGTAAACAGTATTTTTTATTTCGTTTGTCAATATTTCTGTTATAGGTCCGTCGTTTGGTATTATACTCTCGATGCCCGTAACTGGCTTCATAGCCGCGTCAAAGTTTGGATGGCCTCCCAGTTTTTATCTTTTCGGAGCTTTGGGGTACACTTGGATGTTGATCTGGTGCTTTTTGGGAGCCAACAGTCCCGCTGAACATCCGAGAATCTCAAACGAAGAAAGAGCGTACATCGAACGAACTTTGAAAACTACCCAGCATGAGGTATGAAGGTAATTCATTTAGCAAACCTGGATTAAAGCAAAATGTTCTTCGTTTTGCACTTGTCAGTGCTCCCGAGCATTTTATTAGTCGTTTTTTGATAAGTAGAATTCCTGCCAGTATCTCGAAAACGGGAAATTTCCGGAATGAATGGGCCCCGGATTCGGTTTCAGCGACCCAGAAAACGTACTATAAAGATGGTTGGACTTACGTTTCAGACTGATCCATGCTGTAACATACCTACATGATTACTAAAAATTAAAATGATTTAAATGCTGTTCAAGTGACTCCTATGGCACGTCTTTTGAGTCTCTAAATTCGAATCCGAAGTCATTTCACGTGTATCTGATCCAGTTTATCCTGTACATACTATTATTTGTGAAAAATTGCAAAACTAAGAGACATTTGCGACTTTAGGGTGCTAAAAATAAATTCTGTATATAAATTGAGTGGTGAGACTGATTTTTTAATTTTCTTATTCAAATATAATTACAATTTTACATTTCCACCCTCAAAATAACTTCTTTCTGAAGCTACACAGCGGTGGTTCCTCCACTCCTCATAGCAGTGCTGGAACTCCAATTCTGGAATAGCCTTCAGCTGGTCTGTCTTCGACTGTACCAAAATTGTCGCTTGAGATGATTTTTCAACATCGGAAAGAGAAAAAGTCACAAGGACTCAAGTCAAGAGAATAGGGAGCCTGAGGAGCTACAGGAATGTTTCTATCGGCCAAAAACTCGTTTATTGACATTGCTGTGTGACAAAGAGCATTATCGTAATGCAACACCCAGTTGTGCTTGATCTGATGAACGATGGTGTGAGTCAAATTTAACTCTACCCCGATCATTCTGACTGTCAACCGACGAGCCAAAGACACAAAACCCCGGACCCTTTCGATCTTCAATCGAATCTCTCCCTTCTGAACATGCCTTAAACCACCGAAAAATCTGGGCTCCGTAGACCAACTGAAGTTTAGCAAGGGTTTCACAAAAAAATATCGCTACAGACAACCAAATGACAAGAGCGAGTCCAAACTTGTACTGATCACATGTTAATCTTTCTCCCCTCCAAGCCAGGCGCTTCCAGTGTTGCCGGATCAAACGTATGTTGCCAGTCTCATCACTTAATTTACTGACCTCGTACATTCATGTAATTTGAGAAGCTACATTTGAATATCATCGTGATAAAAACCTTAAAGAGTCGGGGGTAAGACACTAATTACCCGGAGCCACCCGTAAACCCTAGCACTAAACTGACATCGAATTCGGAATCTACACACCCGATTTAATCCAGAAAATAAACTTCCATCCAGATCGTAGATGTGTAACATTTTAAGGAGGTTTTTTATTAGTCGGGACACTTCCGGACCTAAAGGGCTCCCACGCAGTATTATTACTGTATAATGTCAAACAACCGATCAAATTTCAACTTGGTGGATAAGTAGGCTAGTGTGTAAATACACTGCGATGCACATTCTATTGTTTAGTGGAACATTGCTTTATAAATTCAGGTAATTTTAAATAATAGTAGGTTTCAGTAGACCACTTTCTTTCAGAGAGGAAAAACTCCATGGAATAGTATATTCTCATCATTACCAGTGTGGGCATTCATTGTTGCCATGTTCGGGCAAAACTGGGGCTACTCTACATTAATGACCGAAATACCAACATATTTGAACAAGATCATGGGCATCAATATGACATCGGTAAATAAGAATAATTACGCTGACCCTTTCGTTCATAATAATAAAAATGGTCTTTTTTTCTGTTCATAGAATGGCATGTTGTCTGCGGCTCCCTACTTGGCATCTTTCATATTCAGTTTCATATTCGGAATACTCTCAGACTACCTCATAAACCGAGACTACGTCGGCCGTGGAACGGCAAGAAAAATTTTCAATACGCTAGGTAATAATTATGTTATGTTATTAATTAATTTTCTTCCTCTTATTTCATTGAAAAAATAATTTAATCATAGATATTGAAGTGATTTTGAATAACTTATTCAATCGGTTCTTTCAGGACCTTATAACTGAAATATAGGTAGATATTTATAACAACTAAAAAAAAAAAAAATGTTGTCGCCGAAATTGCTGAAAACATTTTTTACTCACATATAACGCATATTGCATTTGCCCGTTTGCAGGGACATGCGTGCCTGCTGTGGCTCTGGTAAGTCTTGGCTTCCTGCCCAGCAACGCTACCGTTCTTTCCGAAGTGATGCTGATTATCGCGGTCGGCATGAACGCGGCCTGTTTCGTAGGATTCCAGGTGAACCCTGTCGATTTGGCACCCAATTATGCCGGGATTATTATGGGAATCGGGAACGGATCATCGAACATTTTCTCCATTATCGCACCTCTAGTCGTGCATTTCGTCGTTGCGGATGAGGTAAGCATTCTACTGGGTACCCCAGAGTCAACGTCGAGCCGGAAACGGGGGATACGCGAAGTCATAATAGTTATCAGAAAAATATGAAAAAGTCCTATGCCCATTAAGTTAGAGAACATCTTGATGCGGAATACCCGAGCAGATGGATAGGACGGAATGGTACCATTTCCTGGTTAGCCCGTTCACCTGACTTTTTTCAATCGGGAGCGGTGAAAGAAAAAGCTTACTCAAAGCTAATCGAAAAGGGACGGAATAACGAAGGCAGCTGAAGTTATTAATAACAGAAGATTCGCCCGATCATTTTTAAGATGTCAAGCTTGCATTGCTTCTGAAGGGAAGGCCGTTTGAACATTTATTGTGAATTTAATAAATACATTTACGAATTAATAAAAGTGGCGTTAGTATTTGTCTTGCTGTCACTAGGTAGCATGACACTGTCCGTCACTCCAACTAAGAAAAAATTGAAATTTGTAGTAATGGGAATTAGATCATCACAGGGTATAGATTTTTCCGACTTTTTTCAAAGCCTATAATTTAATTCCGATTTCTTTCATATTTTTCTCACAAATATTATGACTTGGCCTATGTCCCGTTTCCGGCTTGACGTCGACACCATGGGACACCATGTATACATCTCAATGAAAATCAATACAACCACTAAGCTTAGGTTGAAGTATTTCAGCAATTATTGCACTCTCACACAAAATTTATGGCGGAGTAATCAACGTCAGCTCCCCATAGGATTTCGGGATTTACTCGAGCAGGGTTTCAAATTAAGATAAGGAGGATATTGGTTCCTGTGAAGTACATTCACCATATACAGGGTATCCAATAAGTACCACAACAAACTTAAGGAGAAGGTAGGATTTGGACTGATCTCCCAAATCACTAAAACTTACCTATATAAAAGTGTCACCGTTTTAGAGATATTGAAATTATTCTTAAATTTTAAAAAACGAACCTTTTCATCTAGAGGAAGTGGTCCGAATATGAGCCCTGCACTTATTATGGGCCCCCAATATATTTCAACTAGAGCACGTCGCGACATCTATGAATTTCGTACTAAAATACTTCTACTAGACCCCCAAACATTTTTCTGTTTATGCACGCAGTCTCGTGTGTATCTCTATAGTATCAGGTGACATAAGTTTATTTGTGTAGTTCAACAAATATTTTACGGTAAGTGTTTTTGTGCTATTTATTAACGTTTATGTTTAAAACTGGTGAGTTGATGTGTTAGTATGTTAGAATAGTGATCAGTATTTGATATCCCAACATAAAAACTAACCTAATAATGGATTGAGAAGAAATTGAATGCTTTTAAATATTCAGATGGAATGTTGCTAATATGGGCCCCTACCGTGGTCCTATTATGGGACAGGGCTCATATTCGGACCAAGTCTTAATAAAGTTGTTTTTGCAGTTCATTATGCCACGAAGCAAGGCGAAGTTTATTTCAAAGAACTTAAGACAAACATGGAGACGTGAAGATATGGTTAAGGCTATGGACGGTGTTAATAACAAAATAATGGGTCTTAAAACTGCAAGCAAACAGTTCAGCGTGCCACGATCTACACTTCAAAGACTGTTAAAAAAACAAAAGGAAGGTAACTTAAATATTAGTGACGTAGTTAAAACTCAACTAGGAAGAAAGACAACATTAGGAAAAGAACTGGAGGAAGAACTTGTTCAATATGTTTTGTCCATGGAAGCTACTTACTATGGTCTCACAAGAAAGGACATTAGAAAAATGGCATATGTCTTAGCTGTTTGTAATGGAATAGCTCATCCATTTAAAAATGGTGTGGCGGGGAGAAGCTGGTTGGATGCATTTTTACTACGTCACAAAAGTGTACTTTCTATTCGAAGACCAACAGGAACTTCCTTCGCTAGAGCATTAGGCTTCAATAAGGAAAATGTGGAGCAATTTTTTGACAATTTGCAGAGTGAATACTCAAAAAATAACTTTTCGCCTCACCAAATTTACAATGTAGATGAGACTGGGCTTTCAGTTGTTCAAAGTAAGGTGGCATCAGTGGTGGGAAGAAAAGGAAAACGGCAAATTGCTTCAATTACCTCAGCCGAACGGGGTTCACTAGTTACGTTTATAGCTGCAATGAGCGCTGGAGGTCAATTTGTACCGCCCATGTTAATTTTCCCGAGAAAAAATCGCAACGAACAGCTGATGCGAGGGGCTCCTCCAGGTTCAATCTATGCAGTACATCCAAGTGGGTGGGTGCAACAGAATTTGTTTTCCGATTGGATGAGGCATTTCATAAAATTTGTTAAACCAACAAAAGAATGTCCAGTTCTGCTAGTGTTAGATGGCCATTATAGCCACACACGAAACTTAGAAGTAATTCGACTAGCTCGTGAAAATCATATTTCCATTATCTCTTTGCCGCCTCACTCAACTCATAAATTACAACCCCTTGATAAAACATTCATGGGAAGTTTCAAGGCTTATTACAGTGAGGAAATTAGAAATTGGCTTCGTGTTAACCAACGAGCCCTCACACAGTTTGACTTGGCAGAACTTTTAGGTAAAGCCTTTTTAAAATCACAGTGTGCCGAAATAGCTGCTAGTGGTTTTAGGGCGACGGGAATATATCCGTTCAACCGTCACATTTTTTCTGAAGCAGATTTTATATCTGAACGAATTCAGGCTGAGAAAAACTGCAACATTTTTCCTCAAGCGCAGCCTGTCACAACAGAACCCCAGCATGGTACCCCAGAACCTCAGCCAGGATGTTCTCTTTGGGACGATACAGCTAAATTACAATCCCAGGCAACATCGTCGCCGTCAAATTCCAATTTCTCTAGACCATCTGTTCCAGGAAAGGAAAATTCCGTTAAATTGGTCTCACCATTTGACATTTCACCTGTACCTTCTGTCACAAAGAAAAATACCACTCGGGGAAGAAAATCAACTAAATCGCAAGTGATCACCTCTTCCCCCTACAAGGATGAGTTAGAGAAATCCTGCACCAACACGCCTAAGAAAGCAAGCACCAAACGACAAGTCTTTTTAAAATCAAAAGCAAAGAAGACAACTAACAAAAAAAGACAGCAAGCAAAAGACAATAAAGTCAACGACTCTGAGGATGAAAGTCACGAGTTTGTCCCAGACGATGAAGATATGGATATCGACGAAATTGGCAAATCTGTTCCTGATGACTGTGATACAGCATGCCTATTTTGTGATGGTTGCTTTTCCGATGACCAGAGAGGAGAGCTATGGATTCAATGCTTCATGTGCAATCAATGGGCTCACGAACAATGTTCAGGTGCCGAAAAAGATGCATATATTTGTGACTTTTGCGTGTAATATTTAGTTTTTAAGTTGAAATGTATTTTCATTTTCATTTTCAGTTTTTTTTATTTGAAAAATATATGTTTTTTCAAATTGTTAGATACCTGTCAATTATTTTACTAGGGGGCCCATATTCCACGCAGTCTAATCCAAAAGTAGATCTGTACATAATTTAAGTGTTGACACAAATTCGACCTAAATTTAATTTTTTTGATAATGCCTTTTTAATATACCATAAGGTAAACCTTTGAGCGTGCAGTGTGTAATTTACTGGATATTTATTCGTAAGTTTCCAAAATTTATAAAAAAAAAACAAATGGGGGGCTCATATTCGGACCACTTCCTCTATGGTCTTTAGCTGCATGTACAAATAAGGTTATAGTTTGTTCATTTTTTCATATACAAATGCAATGTAGGTAAAAGATATTAAGGAAGCATGATCAAATAAGGACTATTTTGGGATTTATAACATTCTGATATTGTTTGCTCAGCTTTCATAAAATCATATCAGGAGCAGGTAATAAAATAATGTAGCTTTGTACTATTTAGCATGTCACTGATCGGAATCAGTCACTAACAAAAGCAGCTATCACATTTTTTCTATTCCAAATAGTACGTGTGGTGCCTTTCTGAAATCTGTACTCAATGAGCAATCTTTGTATTCAATATAATGCATTTATAGTCCAGTACATTTTTGTTTCACCACAGATGGTCAAAGTTGAGGAAAAAATATCAGAAGGTTATAAATGCCAAAATAGTTCTGATTTGATCATGGTTCCTTAATATCTTCTAACTGCATTGCATTTGTATATGATAAAGCAACTATCTAGAAGTATTTTATAGAAAAAATTCAACAAAGTATAACCTTATTTGTACATGCAGCTGAAGACCAAAGATAAAAAGGTTCGTTTTTTTTTAATTTAAGAAAAATTCAATATCTCAAAAACGGTGACACTTTTATATAGGTAAGTTTTTGTTATTTGGGAGGTCAGCCCAAAGACTACCTTCTCCTTAAGTTTGTCGTCGTACTTATTGGACACCCTGTATAAGCCCTTTATACAGGCAGCTGATTAGAATAGTAAAAAATCAGATATATTCCTGGGCGACCAACTAAGATAAGAAGGGTGAATTACGTGCTGAAAAGTGTGTATTTCAATAATCTGATGATTAGAGTGTGACGTGAAGGAGTGGGAATGAATATAACAAGATGTTTTTTTTTAATTTGCAGGATTTTTATACGCATTCTGAATAATGAAAGATAATAAAAGAATTTGAAGTTTTCCAAAAAACGGCATCTCTAATTTTGAGGTTATAGATGTCCCCTGGCGGCCACCTTGGGAAGTTGAAAACAATTTCGAGTCATTTAAATTGGCCACTTTTCTTATAAATTTTTTTATACCGATAGCTCTAGGTTGTCTGGTTGCCTTTATTAATGGTTCAATCGGCAGATTATCGTACCTCCAATATCAGTGTCACGTGGAGCTTATACAATATCAATATGTGACGCGCTCGAGTATTTATATGTAACTATTTTTTTTTACATTTGCGACAACGCTCCCCCATCACTAAAGGGGTGCACATCATATATCTTCAAAACCCAATAGGTCCTTCGACGAACGAGTAACTACCCATTTAGCCTTTTGGGCTGGGACTACCATATAATGTTCAACTATATTTTCACAATGAATTTGAATGACCATTTCTGCAAGTACATAATAAATTTGAAACATTTGAACAGTATTCTACTGTATCACATTTCCAGGAGGACAAATCATTATGGAGGATAATATTTATCGCGGCATCAGCGGTGTACCTGACTGCCAACCTATTCTTCGTATTGTATTCTTCGGGAGATGTTCAACCATGGAATGATGTCGCTGATTTGGAAAAACGTAAACAACCATCTACTACCAATGACAATGGACCAAACATTCATATTGATGGAAAATATACAGAAAGTAGCTAAAAAAGTACCATATGTGTCAAAAATATATACTTTTAAATAATTTTCATAATTTGATATGCTACTGGGCGAGGAAGTATTGTAATCGCGGTGGTGGCGGAGCTAAGAGCAACAACACGAAACATTGTCGTCCTGGCCATAGTAGTAAAATATTGATAGAAATTTCCTCCCCACCCACAACTCACAAATTTGTGTGGAAATTTAATCCAAATCCAAGCGACACTTCCTAAGTTACAGACATGCCAACGATTAGCGGACAGTCAGACTGACGGAAACGCCTCTCATGGTTTTTCGTGATGTGGATATCACATAACATCCAAACACACATCTATCGCATTTTAGATTTTTTTGCGATTACAATACGTCCTCGCCCATAAGCGTGCAAAGTAAAAATAATGAATAAATTAACTCTTTTGATATCCCTAGTATTACTGTCTGTTATCGTAGATAGAATCCCAATTTGAAGAGAAAAAAGAGGAACCCCCAAAAAGGTGTAAAATCTTATACACTGAGAACCAAATTTGTCTGACATCTGGAGTTCACATGGGTACGAGCGAGAAGTGTGTATAGACATACTATATATGTTAGAAAGAGATAGTAGCTGGCTGGATAGACAAGCTCATCACCGCGCTGCCTAGCAACGCTGACGCGGCAATGTGTCGCGTTGCCTAAATGTTAGACCCGTGCCTTGAACAGAGATCCTTTTTGAAAGTATGTGTTAGTTTATTGTCTACGCCCAAATAATGGTTTTTTGAGCGTACACATTTTTGAATTGTTAATCGTGTCAAATCTGTTTAGGAACGATTCCGGATCGGTCCTAACGGCGCTCCATTTAGGTCGAAATGAAAGGTCAATATTGCATCACTGGTTCGCTTGGGAACATCGCATCTCGTAAATTCCATCTCCATGATCATAGATGAGCAATTTTGGTCAGTACCCATCTAGCGCTCTATGGGGAGTGTTATCCAGCTTCAAAATGGTTTTAACCTACGTTAGCGCAGGCAGTAATAATTTGTATTGCCTAATGATATTTGTTACATTTTCCTACCGCTCGCTGTCGCAAAATGAAACAATAACTAATCACTGAAGGTATAAATCAAAGATAATACTAAAATAAAGTAAAGCACTAAAACGCATCAAAATTGAAATAAATAATTCTAATCAAAATGATAACAAAATATTAAATCAAATGTTCGAACAGTCCTCCTTCTTGGCCTGTGCGAACATTTGTGGAGTAACATATTGACAACGCAATGTGGTGATGACTTTCGCTCTTCAGTCGGCTTCTATCTCTTTCTAACATGTGTTGATACACACTTCTCATCCTTCTATCTCGTAGACATTGAACTCACGCCGTCAGAAAAATTTGGTTTTCCCTGTATAGATAATAAGTGTCCAAACCAAATCAGAAACAATATACCATGGTTAACTCTGACAACCAAGATCTGGTATGTTCTACGTGTACTACTTGTATACAAATGAATATCAAACTATACCCTCTACCTCTAATAGAGAGGCGATGAAAAGTCACTTAATGCGAAGTTGATGTGGCATTTCATTGAGTAAATATAAGTTTGAAAATGATAAATTTCGTCTGTCAAAGCTGTGTTAGCATTCAATTTAAATTTGATGAAACTCTTCGTCATTGGACCAATATGAACAATTATAATTTAGAATTTAAACTATAAGTACAATAATAACAATGTTTAGTTGAACTCAATATAATATATGTCGACGAGGATGTCAGCTACAATCTATTAAACAATCAACTCTCCAAATATTTTTTTAAAGAATCATGGATACGAATTTAATCCGAGTCATCCTGCAAAAACATTTACCTATCCATCTACACATCGTCGACCACAATTTGTTTTTTCAAAAATAACCCACGCGCTAAAAAATACAAAGGACTATGACGATGATTAACAACAAATAATTTTATATAACTCATTACTTTCCGCTGCGCCTATTAAATGCGGAGATTATCCTTGACAATGAACTTAAAACCAGAATACGAGGTGCATACAGCAGTATTTTGATGCTTATATTATCGATTTTCAATAAAACAAAGTAGAAAAGGTCACACGAGCTATCACAATTACACTGAAGAACTTTTTAAAACTTTTTGCCACCCTGGAATGATTTTGGCTAGATTGTATGTATTTTGGTCTGCTGAATCCGGATCTGGCCTCAGATTTTCGATATCAGCCCAGGGACGGACATATGCTTTGATATTAAGGAAAATTCAATAATTAATGCCGATTTATTAAATTTAAACAATTAAAAATTTATAATGCATTTTATTAACAGTTAGTTTAGGTACAGTATAAACATTTTAAAGTAACTTTCGATAAATTTAATATTCATTTCCTCGTCTTTCTATAAGAGTAGATTGCCTTTTCCTGTAGTTGGACACCTTAACTGCTTTTTCCAAGAGCTTCTACTGCTGCAGGCGGAATCCGCTTCTGTTTTTGGAAATCCAAAGTCACGAACAAGGTCATTCAATTCACCTTGAGTGAATAAATGAGGTGTGAGGCAAATCATGAAAACTGCGATGTAGCTTAGTTCGGCTTCTAGTGAAGTACTTCCAGTATTTGATTCAGATTAAGCGTTTAACTCTCTGCTGGTTGGGGAATAGGTAATGATTAGACAATAATAATCATCTACGTGACTTCGAGGTTCCCTCCAAGCCATTGGAACTGCGAATGGCATAGATTTATGAGTACCTTTCAGCCATCCCGTCAATGTTCTTGAATACGACCTGCAACAAAAGCCCATGACTTGTCTTGATCGCCAACTTTGCGTCCAAAGTACAGTTCTTGAGCCTTTTTCACTAGTGAAGATATCGGCGTTTGGTACGCTTTCGCGGTAGCTTCGCCACAAATAAAACAGAAGTTATCGGCTTTATTGATGCAAATTCGCGTAGACATTTTTGTAAGTTTTAAACGGGCACGTAAATCTGAGCGAAATTTACTAAATGATTATAAACTGAAGACTAAAGGGATATTTCAAGCATAGGTCCAACTAGCAGTAGATAATATTGGGACCCCTTCAAGAAATCTGAGGCTACTGTAAACATTTTGAGATCAGTTGTACGAGTATAATAGTATACGTAAATCCAAATGTTACAAAACACACGTTATGTTGAACAGTGTTATACTAAGTGTCAAAAGAGATAAACACCTACGTATGTTTATCCGATTTTAATAATTTTTGGCATATATGTTCAGTATCCCTTACTAGTAAAATTTTCAGCTTGATTCGTCAACTGACTGCAGAAGCTAGTTCAATAATGTGGGCATCGTGCTGATAAGGTGGCCGATATCCTGTTGAGGTATCTCATTCCAGGCTACTGCAACTGCGTGAGTAAGAGCTGCTAAAGTATGTGGAGGGTGTTGAAAATTCAAGTTAAATCGATATGAACAAAATTCTTGAATTCTAATAAACATACGTAGGTGTTTACATTTTTTTGTCACTCAGTATATCAACAACTTTGCTGAATATACAAAATTTGCTGAATGTTCATGTGAACAGGTCTATTTTTGTTAATCAATGTGGTTTCATTGACGGCAGGTTCACATCAACTAACTCGCTACATCTCAACTACTATGTTTGTGAATCTTTGGATAGGCAACTTCAAACGGATGTAATACACACCGACTTGTCTAGAGCGTTTGATAGCTTAGATCATAACATACTTCTCAAAATGCTATTTAGATTTGGTCTTTTAGATTCACTATTATTATTTTTCCAATCTTATTTATCTGATAGGAAACAGTATGGTTATGTGTAAGCAACATAAGTCAAGTGAATACCCAAGGACCTAATTTGGGACCCTGTTAATTATTATATTTTTAAATTATATTTCTAAAGTTATTCATGTTGATTATCTTATATGTATATGCTTACGATATGACACTTGTCTGTAGAATCTCAAACAGATTAATTTTGAATGCTGCTAAGTGTCATGTTTCGTAGTTTACTTTAAAATCAGAGGTGATGATGTATGCATATGTTATTGGTGGCAAGAAACTTGACAGACCTAATACAATTAATCAATGACTTGGGAGGCACATTTGACAGAAAACTTTTTTCTTCTCTCACACTGAAAATTTTATTGTGACTACTTTATTGTAAGAAATACTGGTGATTTCCATAACTCTTTAACATTACTACTATGCCTATGTAAGATAAGCTTGAGTATGCATTCCTAGTCTGGTATCCTCACCATCAAATTTATATTGACCGCTTAGAGTCCATTCAGAGAAAGTTTCTAAAATATATTTTACACAAACAGGATAGAATATATGTATATAACCTGCGACTGGCTTTCCTCATAGTTTATTGATGGTATGGTGAATCACAGCATCTGTAGTTTAGAGAGCAGAAGCAAGAAATATTCAGTTGTTTCTTCACAAATTTATCCATTTCATTATAAATTTCAGCGTCATCTTGGAACATCTTAGCTTCTTTGTTCCTAGATTAACGTAATGAAATAATGCAACTTTTACTTTTTACGGCTTTTGGATGTTATATGACATGTACACTCTATCCACCAATCATATAACCGCTTCTAACTTGAAGCACCACTCGGATTTGATTTGATGAAATGTTTGCACAATGTTACCGGAGTACCAAGGAGCTTTGTAGCCTTTGAAAATCGGACCAGTGGCAACGGACAAAAAAGGCAGAAACGGAAAGGAATAAAAAACGCTCAACCTTCGTTTTATAATGTTTCAGATGATTTTGATCATTTTTGAAAAAATTAGGGGTAAAAAAATTAAGGGTGTGGCGTTATAGGGGAGTGGGTAGGGTATATCTCAATTTTTTTATATTAGTATATTTATTCGCTCTCAGCCTTGGTAATTCGACGCACCTATTAGACATATTTCACACAATAGATTTCTCCGTACCTATGGTCCGCGTCTTCTTCTGCTCCCGGCGGCTTGGTACGTGTCCTGGTATTACTGCCCTGCCATAGCATGGTATTTCCTATCTCTACAGGCGACGTTGCCATCTGACTACCGATAAGGCAGTGAAAGAATATCTATGGACAAATTGTATGGACCTGTTTGACTTTTTTTCTCAGAGGCTCTATGAACCCCTTCCCACTTCAGTTGGCCCACTTAGATGTGTACCAAAATATACCTTTATAAACTAAACATGACGAAACTATTTACTTCTAAAACAATTTATTTTCTCAAAAACATTTTAGATACATTCTAGTCGTAAAAAATACATCATGATATCATCAGTCTCGAAGGGTATAGAGGTGATCGTCACCACAGGAGAGGTGGAGGTATAGCTTTATATGTCAAAAATCACCTTAAAAGCAAAGTTATAAATACTATTGAGTATCATGATACTGAGCAACTATGGATCACCGTAAGCTTTAACCAGAAAAATTTTGCTGTAGGATCTTTATACCGACCCCCAGATTACCCCGTGAACCAATTTATAGATAATTTGGAAGTAACGTTGTCCACACTTGCTCCTAATCATGATTATATCTTATGTGCAGGAGACCTAAACATCGACCTTTTGGATGACAATTTCTGTAGTAGACAGCTACTAAACCTGGTAGACGTTTTGAATTTGAAGCAGATAGTTGAACAACCCACTAGATGTATACCTAAGTCCTCAAAGTTGCTAGATGTTATTATCTGCACAGATGAACTAAACATCTCGGCTATCGATGCATTAGACTGCTCTATGATATCTGATCATCATGCCCTAGTTTCATGTGAGGTTACACTTTCAAAGAATACTTTTGTACCTTTTCTTTACACATATAGAGACTTTAAACATTCTAATTATGAGCTTTTTACAAATCACCTGAATAATGTTGACATGAGTCCAATATATCTGCTTAAGGATATAGATATGAAAGAGAATTATCTGAATGAACTACTGTTAAATATGTTCGATTTCCATGCTCCTATCAGAACAGTCCGCATATCTAGAAAAAGGTCACCTTGGCTTACCTATAATTTGAAACAAATGATGAAACTAAGAGATAAGGCACTAAGAAAGTATCATCGTACAAAGAATCACAATGATTGGTTAGGCTATAATACACTAAAGAACAAAATTAACCACGCGATTAACAAAGAAAAGCAAGTATACTTTGAGCAACAAGTTGCATTAAATAAAAACCGCATGTGGAAAGAACTCGGAAAATTGAATATAGTTAATAAGAAACAGAATTTACTACCTCAGCACCTAAGAACTGCAAACCAAATCAATAACTTCTTCAAGCAATCCATCTCGGGTGATAATAATGAACCTGATCAGTACACTCTTCGATTCTTCTCCGATACGCAACTCCCTCATGAAGCATTTGAGTTTTCGTACACGAATGACAATGAAGTCTATCAAAAATTGCTTTCAGTGAAATCAACAGCCGTTGGTGCAGACGGTATAAGTATCAGCATGCTGCTGTACAGCTGTTCTATAATTTTACCATATCTCACGCATATTTTTAATTATTGTCTAAAATTCAATGTAATACCCAAAATTTGGAAGCTTGCACAAGTAATTCCCATACCAAAAAAGAGCAACCCTGAAGATGTGGGCGACCTTCGACCCATCAGCATACTATGACGTACTCCATCAAAGGTCTTCGAAATGATTTTGGATGCTAGAATGAAGGACTTTGTTGCTAAAAATGACATTCTTCCAGAAAACCAATCAGGGTTCAGATCAGGTCACAGCTGCACAACAGCCTTGATCTACTGATTTTTGTTCTTCACTACTTGGGTTTTTCTAAAAGTGCGGTTCATTAATTAAGGAATTACCTCAAAGATCGGGCACAAGTTGTCAAATGCTTTGGTGAAACATCCGAATTGTCTAAAGTTTGTCGAGGTGTACCTCAAGGATCTGTTGTAGGTCCACTCTTGTACACTCTGTATACCTCTCAGCTGCACAAAAGTTTTAAACACGTCTCATATCACTATTACGCCGATGACACTCAATTATATATTGATTTTAATGAATCAGATATAAACCGAACTTTAACTAACATAAATGAGGACCTTCAGGTTCTTTATCAGCTAACAAAAAAATATTGTCTCTCCGTCAACGCCACTAAATCTAAGGCTCTACTATTTGGTAAAAACAAGAATCGCAAGACAAGACAAAATAACTTTTACAAACTCCGCTAAAAATTTAGGGGTTATTGTGGATACAGATCTACGCTTTTCCCAGCATGTCTCTCTTATAACCAAAAGGGCATTTTCATCATTGAAACTGCTATACAATAGCAGAAGCATAATAACCAAGACAACAAAAATAATATTGTGCGAGTCTTTAGTTCTTTCTCACCTCAGCTATGCAGACTGCGCGTACGGCCCGTCATTGCTACATCGAGATAAGGCGCGCCTTCAGCAAAATTCTTGTGTCAGGTTTGTTAGTGGTATTAGAAGGCGGCAGCCTATATCTCTTCACTTAAAGAACTTAGGTTGGCTCAATATAGAGAAAAGAAGGTTCCTTCATCGATCCGTACTATACCACAAGATACTCAATACTGAATCACCATCATATCTTTACAAGAAGATCAAGACCCGTACAGAAGTGCATAGTCGTAACACGAGGTTTAAACATCATCTCTCACTACCTAAATTTAAAACTTCAAATTATAAGTGCTCTTTTTACATGACATTGTTAAGGTTTACAACTCGCTGCCTGATAGAATTAAAGCCCTATCAATTTTGAGATTTAAGCGAGAAGTGAAGACTATGTTGAGACTTGAGATGACTTAAATTTAACATTGCACGCTAATTTGCCAATTATTCTTCTGTATGTCTTTTTCGTTTGATCTTTGACATTTTCCCTTCATAAGATATTAGCTACAACTTCTAGCAATCTCATTCAAGCGTCAACTCGTTTTATATTATAGGTTTTACCAAGGTGCCTGCAACAGTTACATGTCATCTATGGATGTATAATATAATATATAGTTTTAAAACATAATATGTCTATATGTATCTGTGTAAACGTTTAAATTTTCTCTTGCTGTTATTATTATTACTGATATACTACTTTATTTTTTTTTTTTTTGGTTAGGTGGAAGAGCGCGGATTGACAACTAATGGTTGTCAATCAAGCGAACCTTGCCGTTTGCTCACTGCATCAGATTTATGTACTTTTTCTTTTTCTGTACTTACATGAGCAATAAAAGCAATTTTTTATTATTATTATTATATTTGAAATCACCTAGACCTATAACTACTAGAACATCTGAACAAATAAACAATGTGCGAATAAATGCGCGAAGTTAACAAAGCAACAATTTAAAGATTACCATTGGGTAACATCACCTTTATTTTTTATTACGGCTGAAATTCTTTGGGGCATAGTGTTAACCAAGTTTTGGCAAAAATTTGGTGTAAAACAATCCCATATTTCTTGAAGCTTTTGTCTCAGTTCGGTGATTGTACAAGCATGATGTTGTCGTACAACCTTTTTCATCTCGTGTCACAATGTTTCAATACGTGACAGATCTGGACTGCTAGAAACCGATTTCAAAAGTGGTACATTATTTTCTTCCATCCATTCTATAGCCTTTTTTGAGGTATGGCACGCTGCACCATCTTGCAGAAACATAAAATCTTGGCCGGATGTCAAACATTCTTCCATCACTGGTAAATGCGATTCTTCTAAAATTGCCAAATATTTGTTTGTATCCACATTTCCATCAATAAAATGAAGTTTTCCTACTCCTTTTGATGACGTACTGCCCCAGGCCATAATGGATGCTGGAAATTTCACTTTTCTCTTCAGACAGTCAACATGGAATGCTTCATTTTTTTTGCGAATAACTCTACTGCGACTGTCACCAACACAAACTTCGAATCGGGCCTCATCACTCCATTGTATTGCACACCATTGTTGAGGTGTCCATTGTCTATGTTCTTTAGCCCATCTAAGCCGATTTTTCTTTAGCAGTGGAGTTAATAGTGGCTTTTCTTTGGCCTATAAGCAAGTTGTGCAACTTTAGGGTTTTTACTTCACTTTTTTTTATAAGAAAACTTACCTTGTAAGTGCTAAATCCCAGTTTGTGGGCCTCTCTATGAGTTGTGGACCTCGAAATTCTCATTCCAACAGCGTCACTCCACAGAGCACTTAATTGTAAATAATTGGCACGCCTGTTTTTCACGATTATTCTTCTTAATGCTCTTCGGTCGGCATTTGTGATATTACTTTTTTCACATATCGTGGCTTAATATTAACTGAACCAGTTACTTTATATCTTCTAACAATATTTCTCACACTGTACCGCGATAAGTCTAACAAAGATGCAATTTCTGAGTTTGATTTCCCAGAATTAAAAAATTGAATTATCAGTAACCGAATTTTCTCACTAATAACCTTTCCTCTACCCATTTTGAAAACGTTAACTACCCAAAACTATTTTAAACGTATTCTGACAGCTGTGATTAATAAAAACAATTGTCATGGCTTTTATTTTTCACAGCCACCTATGCGTTATAGACTTATTTTGCATTGAAATGAAAATATGTTGATATGCTGTAATTGCAACATGTGTTATTTTTATGCTGCAAATTTGACTAGGGAGTGATAAAGTTGGTGTTTTCTACTATATATTATCAAAATTTTCATTGTGAATATTTTAAACCTATAACACCCTGCTACATTTTTATTATTCGTGTTTTATAAGAAAAAACTAAGATTTCAATAGTTGGGCCAACTGAAGTGGGAAGGGGCTCGTAGTTTGTGCTGAACATTATCATTTATGAACTGGTCACGACGTTTCGTGAGAAGTGCAGTCAACCTACTTGACGCGATTTTTTAAATATGTTACTAATTTTGCACGTACCTCGTAACATAGGAAAATATGATCGCTAAACAGCGGAAACAGCGTAATATTAATCGCCAATATCCATATGATAACATGTACAACTGAAATTATTCAAACGGTGCATCAGAGTGGTTTCGAAGCGAATAGCGCTGCATTCAATCAACATTATCAGAGAGCGGGCCAGGAGGGTGCGATTCATATGATCAGTATTGTAGTATCGCGCATGTTTTATTTTCGACGCAAGCGTCATTAAGAACAATAAACAATAAAAAAATTTACAACCACCACCGCAGTAGTACCGTTTTTATTGATCTACTGGCATAATAGATATGATCGGTGCAAACATAAAATGCAGTTTTCGTGGAGAGAACGCAGATAGTTCGAAAAGCGTTTCAGATCAGCGGGTTCGTCGGTAATGATCACAAATTCGGCCCCTTCGCCCCGGCCAATGATAACAACAAAAACAACTTAAATCGCAGCCGTTTATTTGTTTTGTTCTGGGCAGCTGTTGCACGATCAACATGGTGAATTCCGCTGGTAAGGCAGCAGCGATCACCAAATCCGCCGCATTGGAAGTCATCAAACCACCAAACGTCAAATTGCATATTGGTAAGTAGTCATTGGTGAACAAAAAAAACATTTTCTACCATCTATCAGTTTAGAGTCGTAGAAGGTTGGCAATTACGTTCATTAAGGACTGCCAGTAACGCATTATTTTAAAAAGTACAACCTTTGTATAGATGGAAGTTTACCTTGTTGAGCAACAAATAAGTTATAATAGAAATTACATGGCTCAGTTTTTTCCACTCATTAAATATCATTTTTCATTTTTTCTTTTAAATTCTTAAGCGCATTTTCTAAAAGTTCTTTGTACAAAAACTATTCTTTTAAAATAATCATCGAAATCTGCGAAAGGTTGGGAAATGTCGAAAATATGTGAATTGGCCTAAACATACCTTAGTCCAAAAGTTGATAGTTTGCAAGATACAGGGTGTCAAAATTACAATTTTATTTTCTATTTTTCCTTATTGCTGGAGAAGTATTCCAGATTTTGGCATAACACTCGGTATAGGGAGGTTTTCTAGTACGAGAAACAAGAATCCGTAATTTTATATGGCCAAACTTCTAGAGGGCGCACTTGCAGCACTATTTCTGTAAATAACTTATAACTGTTTTGTGCTACCCTGCATACAACTGACCAAAAAATCTTATTTTCTCGTACTTCTAAAAAAACTCTAAAGCGAATAGTTTTCGAGATATTTATTTTTACAAGTACCAATGCATTATTTGTACCATGGTGATAAAATATTTTTATAACATATTCAAGTTGCTTTGGATAATATCTGAGTAGCGTTGCTATGGTTTCTAATATTTGTCATAATATTGCTTTAAACTTCATGGATAATTTTAAGTTGACAATAAGTTGTTAAACATCATGTAGTAGACGTTTGATCAATATTCTGATATGCATTTAATGTACGAATTGGCAAGATGCAATGCTGTAAAAGCACAAGATTGTACGCTGAAACATTCCCTAAGACTTTCCAACGTATCGATCAGCGGTTACGAGATTTTAGGTAGTTTTGCTCAACATATGGGCCGACATAGTGGAGCTCCCAAGAACTGTACGTACAGCTGAAGTTGAAGAAAATGTTTCAGATGCTGTCTTTGAAACTCCTACAGTTGGGGTTAAGAATGTAGCTCGAGAATTTCACGTTTCCGAATGTACAGTACATACCATTTTTCAAGAGCAACTGCTCCATCAATACCACCTGCAAAAAGTATATGGTTTGAGCACGGATGATAACCCCGCAATTGTAGAATTTTGTACATTAAGGAAGTTCAACCACGACAATGGTTTTACTTCGTTAATATTATTTTCGGACGAAGCAGGATGTGGAAGGGATGGGCCCGCTAATAACACAAACCCGCCACCAAGTACCACTTCCAATTAATTTATGGGCAGGAATAATTGAATAATATTTAATAGGACCGGTTGAGTTACTACCTAGACTAAATGGCCAAAGGTATTTACAATTTCTTGAAGAACAATAACCAACTCTGCTAGAATATCTTCCATTATAAACACGCATGAATATGTGGTTTATGCACGACAGCCCTCCACCTCATTTTAGTATATTAGTTACAGAGTACCTAAATAGAGTTTATCCAGACCAGTAGATAAGCCAATCCAAGACCTGTAGCGTGGCCGGCTAGATCACCAGATTTATGTAAATCCTATGGACTTCTTCTTCTGGGGTGATTTAAAACGACGCGTTTACAATACGCCAGTGGAAACTGTAGATGATCTTCGACAAAGTGTAATGCTTCCTTTCCGCAAAAAGTCCAGAAAAGATGGAATGCAATGAAGATTCCAACTTTTCTGCACAATCACAGAAAGGGGGTTAACACTAGCTTCAGGTAGCTCAGTCGGTGGCATGAAGACATCTACAGGCGTGTAGCTGTATGTCGACCATGGCATGGCTAGAGGATAGAAGAACAAACAGAACACAAAAATTTAACAGATTTTATTTAACAAAAAAGCATTTTCATTACATTTGAAATTGAAATTTAAAAAAAAAACAAAATAAATTTTAAATCTTTGGCGCTGCTATAAAACTATACACTTATCTTTCGCTGGTCCATTTTGACTGGACTGAAGCGAGGATGGCCAGGTGCTTGAAGTGGAGGTTCCAGTTATGAGGGGTGACCTCACATTTAGTGGCTTCAGAACTAGATGTAGGCGAAGTTGAACTGATGGCGCTGCCAAGGCACTTGCATGGGTGAAGTGATAGGCCAAGCAATGCAAAGTCAAAGACAAAGGCAAAAGCAAAGTCAAAGACAAAGGCAAAAGTCAAAGACAAAGGCAAAGGGAAAGGGAAAGGGGGTGGCCCCAATCATTTTGTCCTATTCGGACACACATTCTACAAAATTCTAGCACATGGTGCTATATGACCTCATGCTACAGAGAACAAAATTCTTAGCTCTTGCTAGATCGGCGGCTCAAGTGAAAAGGAAGCGCGAGGAAGATCACAGATCAGGAACTCCGCATCAAGCGCGCTCCAAGCGGAAAATTTTTCAAGTAAAAAAGCTAGAGATGGGATTAATGAATTGCGATTCTGAAATGATAATCGAGAAGTGATTTAATAAATACAATCGGACGGTGAAACCGTTACAAAAGAATTTGCCACCATAGCCAGGAAATGAAAAATGACATTAAAATGCTTTTGAGAGTGCAGCAAGGATTAGTTCGTCGAGCTCGAGAGTGTGTTGGGCAAGGTGGTGCTCATTTTGAACAACTTTTGTAGTTATTTCCGTTTATTAGTTTTGTTGCCATCCTCATTTGTTATTGTTAAAAACCATAGCAACACTACTCAGATACTGTCCACAGCAACGGGATTATTATGTTATAAAAATATTTATCACCATGGTATAAATACTCGTAACTCGTAACTATTAGCTTTGGACACTTCTAAAAAGTAAACCTTTTTCTGTTGTGGAAATACGAGAAAATAAGATTTTTCGGTTAGTTGTTGTATACCTACAGGGTAGCACAAAGTTATGATGAGTTATTTACCAAAATAGTGCTGTAAATGGTGCCCTCTAGAAGTTTGGCCATAAAAAATAACGGATTCTTGGTTTTCATACTAGAAAACCTCCCTTTACCGAGTTTTATGCTAAAATCTGAGATACTTTTCAAGCAATAAGGAAAAATAGAAAATAAAATTGTAACTCTGATTCGCAAACTATCAACTTTTGGACTAAGGTATGTTTAGGTCAATTCACATATTTTGATCTGTAGTATCTCCAGTTTCGAGATTTTCCAATCTTTCGCAATATATATGTAATATAGTTTTAAGGGCAAATGTAGGGGAAAATCTGAGGTGTGTGAAATATGTCGAATAGGTGCACAGAATTACCGGGCTTGGAAGGGTATTGATAACATCAACAAAATGCGATTCACCCCCTCCTACGCGCTACAAACCCCCACCCCACCGCCCAATCTTTTACCCCTAAATTTGTTTTCAAAAATAATAAGGATCACCTGAAAAGTCGAAAAACAGCGATTAAACAATTTTTCGTTTGTCTGTACGGCCGCCGCTAATGAACAACGGACGGAAATCAGTGACATGGTTTTTCGTAATGTACGACATGTACATGTCATACAACATCCAAAAAAGCACCTCATTTCCTCGTCAGTGTGTGGTGGGAAGTAAAAGTAAATCAATAATAGTGACATAAAATTTCTATAAATAAAAAAGAACGCTGACATAAAATTTTGCATAGAGGCTCATGATAACGTCAGCACTGAGAAGTGATTTCCCCTAAGGGGGCGTATGTATGAAACTTGTTAATCTTTCAATGGATTCATTCGAAATTCTATACAGATACACTACAATACATAAAAAATCTGTTACTCAACATTTTTTTAAAGACATCGCCTAAAGCTGTGAAATATGTATATCTGACTAACAAACACCCCAAAATGTTGATGTAGAAGCTTGAAATTTTGCAAATAGGATCTTAATAAGACAAGTTAGCACTGGGCAAGGGATCTTTTAAAATCCTGAAGGGGTGAAAAGAGGGATGGGATGTTACATGAAGCTTTTCACACTTGCAATGGATGTATGAGAAACTTTGTACATAAAATATACAATAAGAAATAATAAAAACTAAGATAACATTTTTGAAAATTCATCCTGTAAGGGGGTGAAATAAAATAGGGATTTGTTTATTCCTTCAGTAGATAAGCCTGAAACTTTATACTCTTCTACAACACAAATTAACTTGACTAGGCATTTCTGAACACTCATCCTCTAAGTGTCTAAGTGGATGGAAAAAGGAGTGGAAATTTCCCACTTTAATTCCCTATTAACATTCGTTCACTAGATACTTCAATTTTGCAATCAAGAGGCAAGTAAATTCATAAAAAATAATTAAAACTCCACATAATTTCAACCCCTATTATACTCTATGTATGATGTTTGAAAAAGCTTACATTTCATTATATGCACTGTACAATATGTCACGTATTTCATAATTTGCACTATATTTATTTGGAATTAACTATAAAGACAAGTTACACGCATATGACAGGTCAATATAAACAATAAATGAAAAATTATGGTATACAATTAAAATAATTAGACAATAACGTTTATATTATCAACAATTGCATTTAAAATATTTCAAAGGTATCATTACCTCGGTTGTCGGATGACTAGATAACGAAATTACAGTATGCTTGTATTATAGCAGTTTTTTAGACAATAAAATGAAAGCAAAAGCATGAATGGATGTTACCAGGAAGCAGTCATATATTCCTGGATGCTATAAAAACCGCGGGTAGACAATAACAATCTAACTTCTTTTTTGAATGAGTTATAACAACAAATATTTCGTATGTTTAATGGCAGTTAAAAAGTGATACACAGTTGTGATACAGGAATCAGGGTACATTTTTACAAGTCATACATTTGAGGATGTAGATACTGTCAGTATTCTGTTTGTTGTGAATAATTCACAGTATCTTTTTTTTTGTGATTCTTCCCAGATCATTATGTTGTAAGATCTGTCGGAATATGCAAGTCTTTAATAAACAGTCAGGA